AGTGTTTGTGTGGACAGGCTGTTCTGTGGTCAGCATTTTACTATCACACCCACAACTGTTTATTGATGACCAAATGACGTGAAACCATGCAGATGATTGCAGGTCCAATAACAGTATAGAGTGTCCAGTGATGCAATTAGAAAGGCAGGCATTTATTTTCCATTTAGCAGACTGGCTCACAGGGGATTCAATTCCATCCAATTTCTCTTCTAACAAAATACTTTTAACTCCTACAAATATTCAATTAATTTTATTTTGTATAGCACAAAATCGCGAATTACAAATTTGCCTCAGAGGGCTTCACAGTCTGTACATGCAACATCCTCTGTCCCGGAATACCTCACCTCGGCACAGGAAAAACAAATTTTTAGGGTTACTAGCGCATTAACATATTAATGGATGAGCACTGACTATTTATTTTATTACGGTTTTGTTGTTCTTATTATTTTGAGCGTCTGTTGCTCACTGGCTCTAAATACACTTACAGACAAACCAACGGTGCCAAAGGTCAGAGAGCGGGTGATGTTGATCAGGATTGGCTTGGGAGGAGCGTCATCTCCCGTCTCAACCAATCAGAGCATTTGGAGGTGGGCCTAAGGCCGAAGCATACGTGAACCATATAGAAACGAACTGGCAAAAAAACTATTTTTTTTTCCCTGAGATCATTTAAAAGAAATCAAGTACAAACACAGATGTTTGTACTGTTCCCTGATAAAAAATAAACATGTTACTGCTGGTACCTGCTCAGGTTTATATATGTTAACTCGCACTGCGGCCAGAAGGTGTCTGCTTAATAGTGTCACCGTGGCTACAAACAATGCTAATGGTGGGCTGTCATTAAAAGAAGGTCTGTGTGCAGCGAGCAACGTACGGGCTATGAGAGGATACTTTATCCCACAGGAATTTGCTATGAGAGACGCTTTCAACATCTTTACAGACTCTGTTAAAAGACACGTCAGCAACAAAGAAAAGAAAACTGTTAAAGTGGAAAGTTTCCCCAAACCTCTTTTTTCTTTGCCAATGTGCAACCAGATGTGGTGGGGAAAATATTTAGGGGGATTGTTTTAAAGAGCTCAGAAAAGCTTGTGTCCTTGATGTTGCAGGAGGGAAAAAGAGGAGAGAAAATTTGATATTTTAATTTGATATTGGTCTAAACCATAAAGTTGTTTTGCTTTCTTGGTCAGTTATATGAATCTGAAAACTTGTATTGGCATTGTATTTATATATTGTACGTGTGTCACTGATGTTAACCTTGTAATGGACTTAATAAATTGGAAATTAAATTGTTGACTACCTATTATAATGTTCTGATTGTGACTGCAAGAGTAACTTTTTTTTCTATAAGAAACCAGATAAAACAAGCAAATAGCTTTGGCTTTATGTTTGATTTGATCACATAATGTTTAAGTTGAGATTTACAATCAATATTTTTACTGCTACTGTGTGATGGATACACTGCTGTTAATAAAGCGCTCAGTAACCTTGTTAAGACATGTGGTTGTTTATTAAAAAAAAGTTAGCTAAACTACAAAATCCTCCCCTGTGGCCCCGAATGTGGCCTCACGGCATATGATAGTAGATCATTTGACTAAATCAAGAGAAAATAAACACAACGTAACTTTTAACCTCCTGAACACAACAACTCTTGTCCCTTCAAATGATAAAAGGAAATGTGAGTGTCAGACTGACACAGGTTGCCCATCTCCAGCAAAATTATTCTTAGTGATAAAGTAACTGTCAGGTCATAACAGAGCAATGCATGCGGAAACACACATGTCCTTCAAGTCAGCTTATTGATTAAAAAAAGCTCAAATATTTAGTAGATATTTTTCTGCATAAAGCAGCATCGGGTGTATTTCAGACGACATGTAGGGAGATTATTTGTCACAGGTGGATGATGTCACTTCAGAGAATTTGGACAATGTTTCAGCTTGACTGTTGATACCAGTGACAAGGACAAAGACAAAGGCAGGAATTGTCGGTTGCACATTTTTTTTCATTAAACAGAAGCTCTTATCTGGAGCAGCTCACAACAAGCTATTCAGAGAGGCTGCAGAGAGAGAGCGTGGGCGCCGGGGAGGTGAAAAAATGATTGCAGGGAAACAGAGCGGGCTCTGCTTGTCTTGTCTCTTGGTGGCATAAGCTGAGCTGCTGGTATAAACGCGTGTTTCTCTGGAGAAGAAGCCTGTATGAGTGATTATCGCCCGGGAATAATGAGTCAGAGGGAGAGAGACATAACACACCTGCATGAAGGAAGCTGACGTGGAAGCAGCACCGTAGCTGACGGGCCGCCAATCCCCAAATCCCAGCTTCCTCTAAGAGGATCTCGTCTTCTATATATACACTCACCAAAGGTAACCTGTCAGCGAGCTAAGCTGATTACCGATGAAAGATGCAGCCAACACACAACAACGTCAGTGTTTCAGCGGCCTCCTGCAAGAGAAAGACAAAACATGATCCACAACTGAGACACCGTCGTCGTATTTTTTGTCGATTGTCCTGAGACATTCATGTCATTCATGTGGTGGCCAGGTGAAAAACTGGGTGTATCAAAGCGTAATGAGGCCCTCAAATATATGTCCAACTACCAAAGAAGGCTTCAGAGACAATCACAGGACAGTAGTAGGCTCAACAGGTCCTTTTTAGGTCTAAGCAAAGAGCATCTGTCAATGAAGGTTAGGATGTGACGGTACCGATACCAGTGCATACGCCTGTATGGGCCAATCACAAGATCGGATCGGATTCCAGTGCGTTAAAACAAAAGCTGTAGAATTTCTAAATTGAAGAGTTCCTGAGTTTATTTGTGTGTCTCGCGTACCGCATTCTACACACTGGGGGTAGATTCCAGTTTCAATTATTGGCAAATATCTAATCTCTATTTCTTGAGACGTGACGACGTTACAAAGACGTTCAGATGGACGCACAGTTCAGGATTCCTAAATGAAAGATCCTTCAGGGATTTGAATGCTGGGTAGTTGCGGTAAGCCCCGCCCACCTCACCATGACCTCAGCTTCTGTCGCTCACCAGCTGTGAATGTTGAGTTTCCAGCCACACCCTCTCATTCAGACATGACGTAGTCATGACGTACAAGTCAAATTACTGAGGGTTTCAGTAAATTCAACGAGTTATTGTTCTGTTTGAAACAGGCCAGATGAGCGACGGCCACTCTGGTTCTGTTGCTTGAATTTACCCTCACTTGGCTCCACCCCCACGTGTCACTTCTGGTCCCAAATAAAGAAGATGGTGCTGGTCACCAACCAAGATGGAGAAGAAGGAATTCCCAACATCAGCCCACCAGTGAAAATCCACGAGTAGGATGTTTGGTGCACCGTCTTTGTCTCGTACGTCTCGTACATGCAGTGCTGAACACGGCAGTATACGTGATGCAGTTAAGGACGTAACAGCTGCTCTGAAGGGTCCAGAGATCGGTGTTCCCAATAAAGTGGCAGTTCAGAGCATGTGTTTATCTGATGTGATAGGAAACCTTTGAGGTACTGGATGAATAGTTTGTCTTCCTGGAGCCAGTGTTACAGGATGGGAGGGTGGCAGGAAGCAAGTCACTAGCGGATTGTAGCTCACGCAAGAAAAAAAAGAAAAAAGGCGGCGTGCGGCTGAACCAAATCTGTGAGGTCAAGCCGTGAGCGAGCAGCTTCAATCGCTGGAGGCCTAAAGATAGAAAGGAACAATGTCAGAAACAATGACGGCATCGCGCCTGCTTGTGATGAATGGCGGGATTTAGGACTCTGGATCCGATTAATCTGGAGAGGCCGGACGCGTTGGCGCCACCAAAAGGAGGGAGTGTAAAACTGAGTTGGCTTTTTACCAGTTAATCAATTCACTCCTTTATTGTCGTCGGATCAGATTGACAGAATGAATAAAAAGCATTGGATTATTGACTCGCCAGGAGGACCAGGAAAATGATTCAACATATTCTTACGAAGCTATTTATCTACATGAAATGACCACACGCGAGTGCAGGCAAACGTCCAAATACTGAAAATCTCATGTTAATGTTAGTGACGATAACGTCAAGGTAAATTTATCATCCCTTAATATGGGGGGACATTACAAAGTGCATTGAGATGTAGGTTAGTTCCATTTACTATAAAATGGCAGCTTGTTTGGTAACATTGAATTTGCAATATTTCAAAAATTCTGCCAAATGTCGTTAATACCAGATTGAATCTGGCAACCCAACAGGTTTCTAACCTAAAAAGGTGATTAAAAGCAGCCCAATTGAGCAAAACAAACAGCCAATTTGGCAACACTGACTCAGATCGAAGCTGTGTATTGACTTTAACATAAAGGACGTCTCGACTGTTTAATGAATAACCTCACACATATATATTAAATACGGCTGCATTACACATTAAAACCAGATTGCTGTGGAACTCAAAAATGGTGACTGTACGGTTATAACAAAAAATAAGTAACAAGACGTATGAAGTGGGCAATAAAAGAAAAACATTTGATAGTGTATCGCTGTGAAGTGCTTTCACTCTCATATTGACAGTTTTCAACAAGCACGCATTAAATCACTATAACGCAGTTGTGGTTTTTGGGAGGCCACCGGCCCCCCGAGAGAGCAGCCACAGAGCGACTGGATGGGAGTTTGAAATAGTCACAGGAAAGGGGGCTCAACCAAGTGACCACAGGGTCAAGATGCCTGAATGGTCCGGGTTCCCCGGCCCCACCCGTCTGCCTCTCTGAGCAGCTCAAATGAGCCTACGTGGTGGATTCATGAAACAGGAGAAATGAACACAACACAATCCCGTTGAAAGTGGATATCTTCGTGGAAAAGGGAGCGAAATGTGACCAAAGTTGTCCTTCCGTTTTGCCTGCTATGATGACGGACATGGCAGCTTGGATCTTTAGCAGTAAATGCTACAGATTACAAACGTAGAGACACGTTAGGGTTCACTTGGGTAGAAAAAAAATTCATTCATCTGGATTTAAGACACAATAAGGCAACAAGAGCGGAAGACAAATACAAAAAATGTGGTTTTAACTGGTTGACCATGTATCAACTTTATTTAAATATTTTAACAACCTCGCGTACAGTTAGAAAACGCCAGGATGACGGGATATAGGCTTTAATTTACATAGCAGGGAAAAAAAGCCATAAAGGAAATATCAAATCAACAAGAAGTTTCACGCTTGCTTTAGCGGACATCAGCCCCCTTTCACAGCCTGCGAGGAGGCAGCAATTGTGAATCTTTTGTTAGCTAATATCTCGCCGAACACAAAACCCAATTTAAAAAAATAAACACGCCGGTCTCCTCGCTTCACACTGTTACGGCTGTTTTACGTCACACCGAGGTGAGCGACGATCACACATTCCTGTCTTATAAAATGATTCGGTTCAAAAACTCACGTGAGGAAGCATATTTGCCCAAGTATAAAAAAATAAATTAAAATGATCAACATCTATACACAAGACGGTGGATCCCCGACACCTTCTGGAACTTTCAGAAGCTCTTGTTGTGTTTATAAAGATTTTGTAACAAGCCCATTGAGGTGAAATCAACTTTGTGGAGGTGAATAAAAGGGAAAAACAATCATTTAACTGAATGCATCCCGAAATTCACTTTTCCACCCTGAAAGTGTGCTCTTCTTTGCCTGCCAGCATGCAAGAGAAAACCATGTTGAATTATTTCTTTATTTTTTCACACTGGTCGTAGTCAAATTGATGACGTGGTTTTCTTCATGCAGGAGCTCAGACAAGAGGGAGCGCCTGCAAAAGATCAATGCATGACTCATGCGTTAATTGACTTTTAGGTCCAAAATCTCATTTCTGATTGTCACACCGTCGACAGCCGCTGAAGCCAAAGAGTTCTAAATAAATGGTGATGAGGCTGCTAACTATTCCGAATTCCACAGACCGGTTATTTAATTTAATTCTCAACAAAATGGTTCATTAAAGAAAAGCGAGAAAAAGAGAACGGTTGTGTGAAAAATAAAATAAAAAGATAAAATATGAAACAGATTGAAGCTACGAAATGTTTTTTTTTGTAGAAAACAAAAACATGTTGAGTTTCTCGTGCTAATACTGTGGCTTACAGAGAATAAAACCTGCCAAAATAAAAACAAAAAACAGCCGGATAAATACATTTATATGCCATTAAATCTACCAAAAATACTATTAAAATAAAGGGTGGCATTAATCAAATAAAAAAAACGATATCAATTTGCCTTTGAATCAATTTAAATTGACTATTCATCAAATAAGTAACTTTTGTATTTTCTAAATATACAATTATTTCTTGATTTATTCATTAAGTCTGGCAGGCTTTGTCATCCATAACGACTAACCACCACATCTTCTATCTTCATTCATTCATTCATGAACTCTCCAAAGAAAGATAAAAACCAAGTTTAACTACAAAGCAACTGGACAGCTGAGGGATGGGGGGGGGGGGGGTCCGGGTAAAAGGAACAACAGCGTAGTGGTCAGAACCGAGTGTAACTCCCTGTACCAGTAAAGCTAAAGGGTTTAGGTACAGCGCTACATATCTGAAATGAAACAGCATGTGAACAGCTGGAAGCGCTACAGACAATAAAAACACGGATAGCGCCCCCAGGAGGACATAAACCGGCAGTGCAAGGAGAAAATAAATACAAAAGAATGCAGAATACAGATTTTAAGTTTACGCATTTGCAATTGTATCTGCAGCAAATGAGTCATACAGAAAACAAAATGTATGCTATTGTTTGAAAAAACTTATCTGCTTCAGTGCTGTTAATTTAATTTCAGAAAATGACCACAACAAAGCTTTATCTTTGCATCTGTTGCCAAATTTGGCCGATGAAGATATATACGTCTACTGGTTTGAATGTAAGAACTGAAATGAAGAGGATTGATGAAAAGAATCTAAAACATTCTGTATGAATGAGAATGTTTTTGCTGCTGTCTGAAAAACTGTCTTCATTTAAGTGTTGAGAACAGGAGAATATATTTATTTATACATCAATAAGGCTGTTTAAAATAGAGATTTAACTTTAAACCCTTCCCATAACCCAAGTCTTTTATAGAATCTGCAACACTGTGCATAAAGTATGTGTGTGTGTGAGAATCAATTTGTTCACACAACTTTGTCTTGGTAAGCTTCTTACAGTCTTACGGGCAGTTGCCTCGGTGCCTCTTTCCTTCTCGTTTTTCACCGATCCGTTCAGTGTCCAAAAATGTTAAAAGAAGCTGACGGCCGTCCGCACAACGGGCCTCAGGGTTCAGCAGTCAGAGTGGGGGGAGGGGTCACTGACAGAAGGGCGAGGCTGTGGGGTCGAAGCCTTTGAAAACTTCCTTCAGCGAGGCCTTGTCCTGCTCTGAGGTCGCCTGGTCGGGCTGCACCGGGCTGCTGCCTCCGAAGGGGCTGCCCGTCCCGCCGGGCTTGGCCGCCTGCTTCACCCCGCCGAACAGAGAGGACACCGGCAGGCTGTGGACCCCCGCGGGCCCCTGATCGCCGGCGGCTCCGGGAGCACCTTGACCCGCGGCGGCTGAGGGCCCGCCCTGCGCCGTGGCATTGGGCGAGGGCGCGGGTTTGGGCCGCGGCCTGTTGTAGCTGTTGTATCGGTCGGTTCCCTGCTCGCCGCTTTTTTCTGGCTCCGGTTGGTCCAAAGCCGACTTACGTACAAACAGGGGCTCTTTGGACTTGGGTTTCACCGCCGGGGGGTCGCTGGGTTTGGACTCTGCGCTGGCTGAATTGGGGGAGTTGTTGGAGCCGCTGCTCATACCAGGGCTGCCTGGTTTGTTAGTCCGAGGGTCATACAGACTGATGCTGCTCAGCACACTGGCTCCCCCTGGTGCCCCGGATCCCCCGCCGCGGCCCGGCCCACCCGAGGACAGCAACCGCGGGTCGTAGGGGGCGGTGGTCGGGGGGGGGGAGCTGGATGTGGGTGCCGGGGAAGGAGAGGAGACGGGGGGAGGCACGGGATCGGAGGGTTGCTTCAGTGCGGACTTCTGCGGCTGTAGACGGGGGTCGCAGGGGCCTTTACGGGACACGCGGGGGTCGACGGGCTTTTCTACAGGCGGGGGAGGCATGGGGGGAGGCGGACCGAGCAGCGACATCGAGGAGACAGTGGCAGGAAGGAGAGGAGGGGAAGGAGTCTGGGACGGGCTCGAGTTGACAGTCTTCAGGATACGAGACAGCAGTTCAAAATCTGGTAGGGAGGAGGAGGTGGAGGAGGAGGAGGAGGCGGAGGGAGCAGGGCGGTCCACGGTGGGTGGCGGGGCCTGCGCGGGACATGGCTGCAGGGGAGGGAGCGACGTTTGAGGCAGCGGCTGAGTGCGGGACAGACGCAGGTCTATGGAGGAGACGGGTGGGATGCCTGGTGGGAGTGGGAGGAGGTCCTGCTTGGGGACAGGCAGAGGGAGGAGGTCCTCAGGTGACCAGGTGATGGTTTTGCAGAAGGCCGGCATGTGGAGAAGGATGTCCTTCTTGATGTGGCTGAATTGCTGCAGCTGCGAGCGCGGGTCTCTCAGAGCCATACCCATGAGCGGGTCCAGAGGAATCGGCACCGGCTTGTCCCGTAGAACTCGCTCCGTCTCCTCCTCCTCGGCCGCCGGGGTCGTGAGCGGCGGGGGCTTGTAGACCAGAGGCGGCTCCGGTTTGAGGGCGGGAGGCAGGAGAGAGGTGGGTCCCGCCGAACCAGCCGCAGCTAGCCGGGCCAACCTGGGGTCCGCGGGCGGTCCGGAGGAGGACAGAGTGGGCATCGGGTGGGGGGAGTCGGCCGGGTCCGCGGTACGCAGCAGGCGGGGGTCCCGGGCCAGGCGGGGGTCTGCAGGCCGTGCCGGGGCGCTAGCGGGACTGGCCTTTTGTAGGCGGGGGTCGCTCGGCGGGCCGTCGCATTTCTGGGGAGCTTGGGTCTGCTGACGGAGTGTCTTCAGGATGGAAGTCACGCTACCACCTCCATCCTCATCCTCACTGGAGTACCAGTTCCCTGAGTCGCCTATGAAAGGACACAGAAGCGGGGGATGTTGAAATATCAAAGTCTATCCGGAAACAAGAAAACCCAGAGACACATTCTTTAGACCAGGCACACATGGAGACATTAGAACATTCTCAACCAGAACGCTGAAACGACTTAAGTTAACAGTAAGACGCTCCTCGTTCAACAGAAATGTATATCTGAATTGTTCTGTTTAAAGTGATCTATTGGCGGAAAAAAACATCATCTTTGATAACCTGAAAATAAAAATAGTGGTTTTTACATGCGGATGCTCTCCAACCGCTGCCACGTTTCCACAGTAAATAGTCTGTTTGGCTGTTCATGGCGGCCATTGTAGTTCACCTACACGATCGGCGCCTCCACCGCAAAAATAAACCTACACGCTGCAGCTTTTCAGGGTTCTATAGACAATAACTAAGAATTGAAAGTCGGCACCTTGAAGAATGCATGGTTGAGTAATTCTTTGAGGGCTACAACTCACTGTTACAAAAGAATAACTAACGAATACAGCGACAGGTGCAGGTGCTGGTACTCCACCTTCAGTGTCTCTGCTCTTCTCTGCTCCTCCCTCTGCCATCCGCCGAGCTCTCTCCTCTTCCTCCTGCTGCTTCTGTTGGATCCTCATGAACAGGACCCGCTGCGCCGGAGGCAGGAAGTCAGGCACAGAGATCCCTCCCTGATTTGCCGACGCTCCGTCCGAGCTGCCCGGCTGGTTTCCGGCATTTTCCCCCCTCTCGTCCATACCGCTGAAACCCTGGTAGTTGTCACCTGAGAGGGGACAGCAGCGTGTCAGTGCAGAAACAGTAAAACCCAATTTCCACCAAACCTTTTCCACCAAAACTAGCTCATATGCAGGGTTTATTTTTGAAGAGAGCAGATGATGCAAAAACCTGCCGAACCTTCCTTTCCTTTGGCCCTCTAAGGAGGTCTAGGTAGACTAGTGCGCCACTTCTTTTGGTTTTTGGGTGTGCTGCAAACACACTGGGTTAATGTCGCTGTGGCTACTCCTTTCTTTACTTAGGTTACTTATTCAGAGTTGGTGATTGATACAGTGGAAACATTAACAAAGACATTTTGGGTGACTCGTTTAGTCTGGTGTCTTTGAGGAGAGCTCATTACTTGCATGTTCTAGTAGAGTAATAAATAATTATAAAGTACCTGCTGGTCATATTTATTTTATGTTTCTTCGACTCAAAGCATTAAATAAGTGTGCCACGTTTCCATCACTGGCCGAGAACTACTGCAGTATTTCTTCCTGGGAATCAACGTCACTTGTAACTTTCCTCAGTGACATCAAAAGCCGAATGTTTGTGGTAGTGAGTTTTTTTCTCTTTTGCAACCAGTAGAAAAAATACATTACAACAATTAACTGTTTGCACCAAAGCCTTCGACTGCTGGAATTAACTCACCTTCTTGCACCACTCCCTCCATCGGCATCCCGTCCTGCTGATTGAAGAAGTTATTAAAGAAGTTCGGCCCACCCGGTGGGGGACCTGGAGGCATGGCCCCTCCGTGCGGAGGGCCGTCACCAGGCGCGAATCCTCCCATCATCGGCGGTCCACCGGGGCCCATGTTGGGGGGCCCCTGGTTCATCCCGGGGTCTTGCATGTCAGGTGGTACCATCCCTGGGGGAGGAGGGAAGCTGGGCGGGGGGGCACCAGGGGCCCCTGTGGGTGGTTCCGTTTGGTCCTGGTTGGTGGTGGGAGTCTGGCCTCTGATAGAGGAAGGAGGGGAGGAGTTAAGATCACTCACTTTATGTCATCATCCACTGATCATTTTATTCTTGATGTTTTATTTCAGATTCCTTACCTGACGGCGAGTTTATGAGCCAGCTGAGCCGTTGGCTTAACTTTAATCTCAAACAGCGAGGGGATCTTTCTCCCGGCGGAACCTCCTCCGCCGCAAGGAGGTGGGGGGCCCATGTGGGGGCCCATATTGGGGCCCATATTGGGGCCCATATTGTGGCCCATGTGGGGGGGAGGGCCACAGGGCCCAAGATTTGGGGGGCCACCTTGGAAGGGACTTCCGTCAGGCCCATGGGCAGGGGGACCAGCACAAAGGTTAGGCCCAGAAGGTCCAGACAAAGGTCCCCCGGAACCAGGGCCTGGTGGGGCTTTGTTAGCAATGGGCCCCTGGTTAGGTCCAGGAGGACCTCCAAAGTCACCCATCGCACACCCGCTAAAATCCCCGGCTCCTAGGTTGGCGTCTAACGGGACCGGCCGAGGAGGGGTGGGAAGTAGGCCAACTCCAGGAGGGGGTTTGGGGAGAGGGTTGATCCCCTGCTTCTTCAGCTCCTCCACCTCCTTCTCGTCCTCGGCTCCGGCCTCTGCGTCCTCGGCCAGCATCTAGAAAACAGAAAAGAGCTCCGCCTGTGAGTTTATTTAATATCATCTATAAAACAAAAGGAACACTTCTAAGCTCACAGAAAATAGCAGGGCAACCGTGTAGAGCAGTGGTCCCCAACCACCAGGACGCGGACCGGTACCGGTCCGTGGTCCATTTGGTACCGGGCCGCACCACAGAAAGCTTTTTTTTTTTTTTTTCAGAAAAATGTTTTATTTTGAAAATTGATCGGATTTTCTCCTAATTATGTGCGCTCGTCCCTCTGACATATTCCCCACGCGTCACCAGGCGTTTTTCTTCACGTTTACAATTGTCCTCTTACCGTGCACGGCAGTTTCGCCCACCAGCGAACAGATAGCGCGACTACTACACCCCCCCCCCCGGACCTTCTCGACCGGTCCGCGAAATATTGTCTGACATGAAAACGGTCCGTGAGGTAAAAAAGGTTGGGGACAGAGGACCCTACCTTGTTGAGCAGGTCCTGCGTGTCATCGTTGAGGGCATCATGGGAAAACATGCATTCGTCGCCGTTGACGCAGTTCCCCGTGGTGTGGAACAGCTTACAGGGGAATTCCCGTGGAACTGGAGTCAAGGAGAAGCACTCAAAGAAAGAAAGGAAACTAAAAATTCTGGGTGCCCCCCCGCCCCCTGGGTGAAGCACTGAAGCACTGTGATCGGCCGGGCTGCCAATGCTTTCCTTTGACTACGTTAATGGGCTCGTCCTGACCCGAACCACTCAAGGTCAAAGCCCAACCTATTGCCTTTCTACCAGCAACGTAGGTCCCTGCTCGCCAAGAAACGCTACAGGATTCATAAAAAGCTTTAATATACCCATAATTCCCTGGTGGTACTGAAACGTTTCTCTGCGTGGTTAAGGATATCATGCATGTAGGGACAGTGGTCCGCTCTGGCACAGAATCCAGTGATGTAGAACTTGCACAGCTCCTTCTTCTTGGGCAGCTCGATGTCGTGGCTGAAGTTGCAGTGGTCCCCCTGCAGGTAGACGATCAAACGATCAAATCTGATCTTCATGCTCATCATGTTTGAAAGAACTTCTAACGAACACTTTATACACCAGAAAGGACTAAATAAATGTCTCCTTATTGAGACACCTGCATGATGTGTGCATCATGCAGGTGTCTAAACATGCAGGTGTGCATGATAATTAGTGGGAGATAGCAGGCCTACAGTATTTGCTACTTAGAAGCGGTGCATGTCATCGGAAAGTTGGGAGAAATTATTCATTTGAGCTCACATTGATGTATGAGGTTTTTCTATTCAGAAATAAAAATATATGCAATTACATTTTGAAGGTATGCAGATGTACACTATAGCTGAAGTGAATTAAGCCAATTTTCATATGTCACTTAAAATTGTTTCACAGGTATTAAAAAAAGGATCAGAAATCAAGACACCAGGACATTGAGGAAACCTTTGTGGGATCTTACCCAGGTGCATCGTCCCTCGATGTAGTACTTGCAAATGGCCTTTCCTTTCTTATCCTGGTGCTTCTCGTTCATATTCCTCCTCCCCGGTCCTGGTCCATCGCCTCCAACCCCTCCGTCCTAAAACACATCAACACAAAGTGACACAGGTGAGAAAGATGATCCTTTTATTCCTCATGTCTTATCATTGGGGGGCACTGGGGCCCCAGACTGGAGTGAAGCAGCCATTTGCGTTAACCAGCTTTGAATTACCTGCTTTCTATCAGGACGCTTTGGGCTGATCTGAGAACAGTGCAAAAGCCTCACCCCGTTGTCCATGTCCCCGAGGTTGTTTTCGTCATCGTTGCCCATGTCCCCTCTTCCTCTCCCGCGGTTCCGACCCCTCCCTCCTCTCATCATGCCCCGTCCTCCTTTGCCTCTCCCGCGCCCGCGGCCACCTTTAAGCCCTGGAGACGGAGTGAGAGGGACCGTGAAGGGGAGGGAATTCACTTTTCCCCACGGAAAGGTAAGGATTAAAAACACGTACACGAGCGACGAGGGAAGATCATTACTCACCTCTGCCCCGGTCTTTGGTCTTCTTGTACTGATTAAGTTCTTTTGAGTAGTCATCATAGTCATCCTCACCCATGTTGTCATAGTCATCATCTCCAAACTGGAAGAACAGATTTCAAGTGTCAAACGGATAGTTTTTTAGAATTATTGTTAGGTGCCTTCAGACTGTTTCAGTTATGGGGAACTTAATCCCTTGTATTTACTCTCTTTAAATTCCAAAGACTCCATCGACGAAAATGTTTATTTCACCTCGCAGAACGCGGGAGTTGCTGGTCCAAAATAACCCCAAAACCACCAAATACACACAAATACACAGAAGAGAGCAGGCGCAGGGCTGGAGAGCGTAGGTCGACTAACAGCGTCAGAGTTGGTTGGGAAAGAGCCGTAATATGTTTGTATAAAGGCCGCACAAAAGTGTGAATATTTTACAAATAGCGTCAACCAATAGCGTATTATTTTGATTTTTCCCATCCACTGTGACTAAAGAGTGTAGCTAGTAAAGATAATAAGTATTACTCCAACTTTCTTTGGGGAAATAGAAGACAGCAGCAGCACTAGGTGGTGACCAGGCCTTAATATTTGTCTTATGTAATATTATTTCCCATCCCAGTACTTTCTAGTCACTTACTTATCCTGAAACCACCATCAGACTTCAATGTCAATGCTGGAGAGTTAAAGGAGCTGACACACATTCAATACAGATCTATCCAGGTTCGCCTAACACGGAACAAACCACTTTGTGGAAGAATAAAGTCAATTGTGGGTTCTTTGTTTTTTGGTTCAATGGAAGCTTTCCATGTCAATTATATTCACGCAACTGAGCGAATACACAAAGTAACTTGTTCCCAGTACTTTAAACGAAGCAAATAGACCACGGCTCTCATCCTGAGCTCAAAGCCTCACCTCCATCTCTTCTCCATAGCCGTCCCCATCATCGTTATCTCCCCCCATCTTTCCTCCTCCGCCTCCTCCGCCTCCGCGGCCTCCTCTTCCCCTGCCTCCTCCTCTTCCCCGCCTCCCTCCCCTCATTCCTCCACGGCCTCTCTGGTTCTTCATGCGACCTTTGCCCCCTGCAGGGCCACGGACACAAAAGGAGAAAGGAAACGGGTCAGCGATTCAACGGTGGAACTTGAATTGATTAGAAGCTTTTTGGAAAATAAGTGTCCATAAATGTGGGTGACAGTAAAATAAACCAAACAGAAAGGGAAAATAAATATTTTCCACTAGTTCCAGACACTTAAAAATTGAATTAAAATTTGAACGGGCAAATATTTACCGTGCAGAAGTCTATTTTTCAACTCCAACAGCTTTGATCCAACCGCCGAGGACCCACCTCGTCCGCGGCCTCCTCCTCCCTCCTTGGCCTTGCGGTACTGGTTGAGCTCCTTGGTAAAGTCGTCGTACTCCTCGTCCCCAATGTCCTCCTCTTCCTCGCCCTCGAAGTTGTCCTCTTCGAACTCCTCGTAGCCTCCGTAGCTTTGCTTGTCCATCTTCATGTAGCCGCCCTTCTTTGGGCCGCCGTAGCCGACGTGGGGCTGGAGACGGGTTAACGTTCCAAGAGGTTAGTACTTTTCCACGAGAGTTTCTTGAACATTTGACATATATCTGCATTACTGAAAGATACATTTAGCCATCCAGTTCTTTTGACTTACCGGCGGGGGGTACTGTGGACTGTACTCTCGGTACTTCCTCTTCTCACTGGGACTGTAGTCGGAGTCATCACTGAAGTCGGAGTGGTCGTCATCGGAAGACGGATGGCGCTGAGGAAGAGTGTAAATTTTGAATAAAACGGCGGGTCCACATCAGTTCTCTACTGGTTCAATTCAATCATTGCCCAAAATCTCAAATTATCTGAGGGCTTTACAGTCTGTACACATGCAAGATCCTCCGTCCCGAAACACAAGAACTCCCCCCCAAAAAATGAGAACCCTTCCATGTGGAGCAATGGGGAAGAACCCTTGAGGAGAAGGCGAGAGGAGGAATCCCTCTCCTGGGATAGACTAGACTATGTCATGTGTACATTCAATTCCTATGAAAGAAATGATTCAAATATCGCGAGTTGACAGTCTTACTTTGTGTTTGGATTTGCGTTTCTTCTTGGACCTCCTCTTCTCGCGCTCCCGCTCTTTCTTCCTCTTCCTCTTGCGTCGGTGGGATCTCTCCTCATCAGAGTTGCTGCTGGCGTGGGGCTCCTTGCTTCGCCGGGGCCTTTCCCCGGGCCCCTCCCCTCCTGCTTCAGCTCCTCCGCTTGCTTCTTCACGGCCATCTCCTCCTGCTCCTCCTCCACCTGCTGCTACCGCTGCGGACGGCCCCCCACCAAAGTCCTCCTCCCCCACCTCCCCCCCATCGTCTTCCAGCTCGCCCTCCTCCAGCTCTCCATCCTCTCGCCTGTTGTATAGGACACACAAGTGGGGGGGGAGGGGGTACATATGTCATTTCATTGTGGCCTTGGGCTCACTCAGCTCAGTTATATGCTTCTGTCATAAAAATACATTTAAAAATGCACATTTAATGGATTGTTGTCAGAGTTTGTGGATGGAAAATGAGTACAGAGAGTACAGAGTGTGGTTGGCATTTGGTGCTATTGCACTTTAAGGATTCATAGTGTACCTGGCACCTGCGTTGCAACATTTTCATTTTCGGAAGTCAAACCATTGTGAAATAAAGTGGATTATTTCAAAGCAATTTAGAATGCGCTTAGCAACCAACAGCTGACTGAGGCCCCGAGGCATCAATTGGGCTGGCTGCACCTATTTCTGTGAAGACGTGTTATTTTAAACAGCACAACCTGCTTTTTAAAACTAAAACTGCGTGCTACGATTAGTGAAACACGTTGCTTTTCTTCTATTTCGCAAGTCTGTGTCTTAGTAAGTGCCTGTGACTGCAAGTGATCTACACAAACACACACAGCACTTATATTTCTCACAGATGTTTGCCGGTTTATACTGCAGATGAAGCCATTACTTCACATATCCATATAACTAACCAAGCTGCCACAGCATGATAAGCATAATCATGCAATGGTGTCACTGCTACAAATCCATTAATATGTAGGAAATCAGCTATTGTCAACATTAAAAGTGTTGTATTCTAGTGGATTCAAACGCATAGTTTATAACACGCCATCATCTCGGCTCTGCCTAAGCGAGTGTCTCATGTAATAACCGTTTTATATCATGTGAACATACGATAGTTGTCCCTTTCGGGTTAAAGCCACCAGACCGTCCGGGGCCGAAGGGTTTCCATTCCAGGGCGATGTTGGTGTCACTGTGATCAACTGCCAAGGCGGGACCATGAGCTTCTAACGGACATGGATCACATGCAGGTGTGATCCTGCAGAGACTAAAGGACGCGTGCCGGTTGAGGGGCTGGCGGGGCTTGATTTAATGTTGAGCTGCCATTACATGCAAAATCCAATTTGACATTGAACTAATCCAAATGATTGGCCTTTTTACCAACCACCTAGTGACCATATTCTCAATGTTTTTTCTCCCCCCAATGGCACATAGATGGAGGGATATTGTTTACGGAACCAGCAAGAACAGAGATCATGTTTAACACTCCCTGTTGGAGCAATCGGACCCGAAGTGGTGCCTGCTGCAGGCTGGGAATGAGGCCTGAGCACCGTGGACCGGATTCACAACAGAAACACACCGGAGAGCACAGAGTGAACAGAGGAGTCAGAGCAGGAGGCGGATTTAGAGGAAAAATAGCCCAACTGTATGTGTACACACAGCAGCCCACCACGTCCCCAGCATGCCAGCTTCCCGTCTGCCTTAATGATGTGATAATGATACATTCAACAACACAGCAACACGGGGACGTGTCTGACGCCACTGAGTAGATGAGTTCATTCATGGAACACAACGAATTAGAAGTTGACAACTTAGAATGAATTAAAAATAAGTTGTACAGATAATTAAGTGAACTCATTTTTCATTTTTAAAGAACAGGTATAAGACCTGGAGACGCTCACCGCACAAAATCCCTGTTTTGTGCTGTGTGTCACCGAACACAATCAGGAACAAACAACATATTTCTTCACGTTTGAAAATAGAATCCTGAGCTTCTTCAGCATCTCTACCGAGCTGTGTTCAAAGTAGCTCCAAAAATCGAAATGTATGCACATTGTGCAGCGTTTTCGGTCATCATTGGCTCAAAACCAGCATGTTTAGCCAAAACATATCAACAAAGAAACTTGTTAGCTTAACTTTGCTGAACTCTAAGCAGCTACTAGGTTTGAATCCAAATCCAGCGAATTTATCATAGCAGAAGCCTCTCTATCATAGCAGAAGACGTTAGCTGTACTATGGAGGCACGTTTTAATGATGGGCTGGGATACACCACAGGCAAAAGTTGGCCGATTGAGATGCTGTGCAAACATCACCTAGTGCCAACAACGTCCACATTTCAGAGGGGGAAACTTACAATACAAATAAACTCCATCCAGACGTATCTATGCTTAGCCAAAGTGATTACGAGAGCACCTCAGGTTAGTGGGGACACAAGTCCGCCGACCCAAACCTAACCGACCTGTAAGAGGAAAACCTTATTAGACCTACACAAATACCCAAGTACTGCTGACAAGTAAGTGCAGCCAGATCCAGGTATTTTATCCACTTAACTAAAAAGCAAGTATTGAACCAATAGCAACATCTCAGACAATGACCACTAGCAGCAACCATCAAGTTCTAAAAGTTCAATAAAGCAAAAGATCAATCCAGTCCACGAGGGCTGGTTGAGTGACAGGATCCAGCATGCATCATAATGCATCACACCATGAGATCAGTGCATGAGTCCACGTCTTCACTAATTCTACAAGCAAATGGCCATGATTAAAATGCGGAATACTTACTGTGAGAGAGTTTCTTCACATATTGCACTCAAAGACATTAAAAACGTTTTGGTTATTTTTTGCTCCCGAACCTTTTAGGGGCCACTAGTGGGGTTTGTGGGACGTGGAAATGGGGCCAACTGGGTTAACATGCAGCACATTTTGCCAACTGGGGATTGTGGAGAAAAGGGAAGGGAACTTAGTGTTTGACTTGAAACACTTCTGGGATGCTTTGCAGACGTTTTACACATTTTGGGGGGACTTTGGGGGATGTTTGGGTCGACTCAGTGTGGGCACGACTGTGGATGAAAATGATGTGTTAAGACAAAACATCCATGACAACAGGCAGCACGTTGAAAATAAACCAACAGCCAACAGGATACAACATCGATTAGCGAATAGCGGAACTCTCAGAAATGTATATTTTGATATCTACCGTTGAGATTGAAGGGGGAACAAATCCCAACGATCAAAATGATGAGAGCGACGAAATGAGCGCGTCCCTACCCGCGTTATTAAAGTAACGTTAGTAAGAACACGACTCGGTGCTATTTAAAGTGCGTGGAGCTAACAAGCGGCTTCCCGTTGGCTGTCGTTTACAACTACTGCACGAAGAGGTTTTAGCGGAGTATAATCAAATGTAACAGCCCATACTGGTCGATTAACACACACGAAGACGGTCTCAAAGTATTTCTTTACGCGACGTTATATTCGAGCCATTAGCTTAGCCTGTTTTTTGCCAATTGTGTACGTTTAGCCTACAAGCTAATGCTGCTAAAGTTAGCTTAAATTAGGCCCTTCGTTAGCAAACGACTATCGGTCGGAATTTCATGGCATTTGTGGCATAACGGTTTATGTGACCACACGCAATTTCATTAAAGCAAATTAGCGTTAGTTAACTTTTGGGAACAATGGGAACGTAATTAACCGATGCTTTGAAATCGTTGGCGTGGCTGGACTGGCGCTGACGGTTTTGTTAATCAGATCTTTCAATCTCTTCTTTCTTCATACACGTTGGTCGGAGTCGATTGGTCGTTGATTGAGGCAACGTGATAAAATACAGGGAATAACGTTATCCCGGGTTAGGTTTGGCCTCCCAGTTGGCGGTGTCGTGACAACATGGCGTTCTTTACCTCTGTACTCGTTTTCCAGAAAAGGCGAGTTTAATCCCTCTGACAGAAAAAGGAAAAAGAAACCCCGGGCTTTTTGTGTAAAAGCACAGGACAAATAAATAATTTCATATAAATATGATTGTAGAATTACTCGACCTTTCGTCAGTCAGGAGACTGTTGTGTTCGTGGTTGGTAGTTGGGGAGTTTGGATGGACAGTCATGCTTTCCACAGCCATTTCCTCTAGCTACATTGAGGTGCAAAAAAATTACAACTCGAAACTGGAATCTACTGGCTTATGCGTCACTTCACTAGGATCTACTTGTTTTTGGTTTTAAGGAAGAGTTTCAGTTCATAGTAGGCAATTCTCCACTACAGTTGTAAGAGAAATATGATGAAATTGAGTCCTGACGTTCTCCGTCCTACAGTAGCGATGTGAAATGACGACTGATAAACTTAAAATGGCGGACTGTCTTATCGTATGCGAAACAGGGCGGGCGTTCTCCGAGGATGACATCACGACGAATAACGTTCTTCTAACGCTCCTCACGGAAATTGCCGAGTGCTGACTACAAAGGGCGAAATGCGCCCCCGAGCTTGACTCGCAGGTGCCCTTGACGAGAAAATTGATTTGAGAATATTTAATTAATATTTAATTGAGGTTTATTCATGCATTGAACTTTTAATTTTCTTTAAATTGATGTTAAAATTTACATTCGCGCCATATATTAATGTATAGTCACTAACATTTGTATACATTTACTCACTGTAATTTCTTATGATGCATATATTTGCTGTATTAGATTAGATTCAAAATTGGCTGTTTCCTCTTTACAATACTACTTGTCGTATATACTTATTTTTGCCTACATGTTTTTTCTTTTTTACCATACTGTATACTTGATCAAGCATTCTGAGAATGAAATTGCCAAAGACTGCTTGTCTTTCCTTTCAGTGCATCTAACAATAAATTAAACTAAACTTTACATCTTCCTTGGATAATTGAAGTGATGCTTTAATACGGTATTTAGAAAAAAAAATATTAATGCGTTCCTAACACAAGTTAGCGAAGTTAACCTGGGGCTTTATTGGGCAGTGTGGGTCTTCAAATATTGCCTTCAGTCTTACGAGAAGTTGGGTACCTGTCTTATGCAACGTTGTATTGACAGTGATAATTTGTGTCATTGCCAAGAAACGATAACGTTGGACATAAGTCAAATCATTTCAAGTTGAACAAGTGTCTACTTTTAGATCCCACCAATAAACAGATTTATCCTAGAGGCAAAGGGAGGGGTTCTGTTCAGGCATCCTGTAGAATATAAAGTGTTAATGTCTTTATTTGGTTGGAACTCAATAGCTCTTTTGAGTCTTTTTGAAAATAGCTGTGAAAATGACCGTAGAAGACTACGCCGAGGGGGAAATAGCACATGCATCAACCCTGTCAGCTTGTTAAACTACCGAGGTGTGAAAAAGGTGAAACCAAATGTATCACATTAGCAACCGGTTTAAATTTACGTTGCAGGACTTACTGGCCAATGAATATTTTTTTTAATTACAAGTCAGTAATGGCTATGAATTAGTTGAGTTTGATGCTATTTTTAAGATTTACGTGAGTATTAAAAACAATATTAACCAAAAAACAACACAAAGATGAATAAATGTCTGATATGAAATTGGACGGACAGCACTACGACAAACAAATCGTGAAATGATATGAATGATTACGCGGAAAGCCAGAACACATCTATTGTTTCGTTCGAGTGACGTCATCGGTGAGCGCCCATTCAGCGGGACTGCAGTGCCATTTGAAACAAGCGCATTTGTAGCGGCATCGGAAAAGTCTCTTTGCACCGTGATACCCGTCTTTAGACTGACCCAAAATGATTGATATGATCGAGAAGGAGGACCCGGTCATCAGTGAGGAGGAGGCGGCCCAGTACGACCGTCAAATCCGTTTGTGGGGGCTAGATGCACAGAAGAGGTCAGTTAGCTCCTTTAGCCTGACATGCTAATCGGTGCAGCGGAAGGTTTGATATGTTGCACTCAAAATGTAAGATTTAACCCACACGCCGCACATAAAGGGAGGCATATTTGCATTTTCTATTAGAAAATGAATACTCATTTCAATTTTATAATTCTCAAGTAAAAATGTTTCTATTCTGTAATACCCCACTATAAAAATACTTGGTAAACGTCTTGATGAAAAAACTTGTCAATCTTAAAATGTAAAATGACACAACTTTAGTAAAGTGTCGAATGTAGCCAAAGCAGAAAGACTGTCACTTATCCATTATTGTAAAATCAGTTGTAGTTATGATCGTTTCAGTTGTACTTGTTGTCTTGTACTTTTACATTGTAACTAAGAGTTAAATATTGGGTAATGTGATATTTCACAAGCATTTTGAAAGCATTTGTAAAGTAACTAAAGCTGCCATATAATTGTAGAGCAGTAAAACGTAAAATATGTTGTAGTCTTTTTGCCTTATTATTATCAAACAGAATTGTAGTTTGTTACCAACACATCGGCCTGAATTAAATGTCCTATCATGTCAACAGGTAATGTGTTGCCATGACAACATACTATTATTTTAAGAGTAGAGCATAGTGAGTTAAAGAAGCAAAATAGAACTAGCCAACGAGGGTAGACGTTATTAAGACGGCATGCCATGTAAATACAATCATTTCTTAAGTAAAATCATTGTCAAATTCCAAGGTGTGGAACCCGGTCCCCTGTACCGTGGCATTTCCCCCCCACATTTATTGAAGCATCTCAAGTGCAACGTTTCTTTTGGATTCATTTCATTCAACTCATTTGTTAGAAACCAACATGACACACAAGACTTTGATCATTGTGACGTGCTCTGCATTGTTTGTTTTTGAATAGATTGCGAGGGTCCCGTGTGCTCCTGGCTGGTTTAGGTGGTCTGGGGGCTGAAGTGGCCAAGAATTTAATCCTGGCTGGAGTTAAAGGTCTCACTTTGCTGGATCATGAACAGGTACCCATACTCACTAAGTACACTCAAAGAAATGTGTTCTTTTCTCCGTCCTCATCAAAAGTCACTGTTGCCTACAGAGTTGAATTGGGTTTTAGTTTAAATCTAGAATTCTTTGTTTACAGATTACATATGTGGGATATATGTAAATTACCACTCTGTACTGTAAGTGTACTGAATGTCCACTAGATGGTGCCTTTGACAAAGCAAATACTTTTTACGTCTAGTAAAGTAACCAGCTATTTTACATTGAGGTGTATAATGGTCACAATGTAACAACAACTTACCTCTGGCTTCACGTCATGTTTTGAGGTTAAAATTGAATTCCAGCCTCACACACTCTTTTGAACCAGTGTAACCTCAATACGAGATATATACTTTTTTCAATAGAATGGAATTCTATTAAAAACACAGTATTTCCAATGGAGGAACATGTTCCCATAATGCACAATGTGAACTTCGTCCAGCATAACCTTGCCTGCCCGTTTCTGTGGCCCGCAGGTGACGGAAGAGTCGTGCCGAGCTCAGTTCCTGGTTCCGGTGACGGCTCAGGGTCAGAATCGAGCCCAGGCCTCTCTGGAGCGAGGGCAGAATCTCAACCCCATGGTGAAGGTCCACGCAGACCAAGATCGAGTCGAAGACAAGCCAGATGACTTCTTCCTGCAATTTGATGCGGTGAGCGGGAACGACAGTTCGTTAATACAACAACCTACAATAAATTCAGACCAAAACAAATCTTTATTCAAATGTGTGTCAGCGTATGTATGGGATTTTAAAAAACGATGTGAGGATGAGTGATATGACTTGAAAATAGTTCAAAGTAGTTCAAGCTCATTGTTCAGGCTCAGGGGCCAAAATGCATGAATCACATGAAGTGGTGCCGAGCTATTGCCAGCGGCTGAGCTTTATCTCCAGACAGAACGGTAATGTAATCTTATTTAGCCTTCAGATATTCACATATGAATAAGCCTGCTAAATATGTAACGTTGACAGCTGCTTTTTGAACGGCAATATTTGCGTCAAACCAGCGGTTAGACTTTAGACTTTGTTGTCATCCGGAAAAGCAATGTTCAAATCAGACAATAATACATGCTAGTACACCGTGGCACACTAGTGTGAATGTGTACATGCCTACGTGTCAAAGACACTCGCTGCTGTTGATGAGAAATACGATTGTATGGTGTCATAACTCAACTTGTAGGAGGAATTGAATTCCACTCGGCGTTGCGCATTAAACTGTAACAAACAATCCAGAATTAAGAATTTCATTGTACAGAGTAACCTGTTAAACTGTACACATGACAATAAATATCTTGAATGAGCAGTTTGGTTTTGAGCGAGTGGCAATAAATAGATTTCGATAAATTCATTTCCACAGGCAGATCTACACCCAGGTTGGATCTTAGTTTTGAAGGCAACTATGTATTTTAACACCATCAGTGGAATAACAGAGCTATTTTATTTTTCACCTTCTTCTTCTGTCTGAATTGTCGGTGGTCTTCCCCCCCCCTTTTGGAGTGGGTGAGGGTTGGGGGGCGGAAGACGGAGGAGGACAGCGGCGGGACGCAGTGAAGTTAGGACGGGATGAGGTGTTGGTAGGACGGAGGGAGGATGAGAGGAGACAGAGGAGGCAGGACCAATTGAAAAGTGTAAGGTCTGTGTGTGGCTCAGCGGGAAGATAGACAGTAATTAAAGGGCCGCAGTTGGAGTGCGGTCACAGTTTTCATATTGGAGGCCTAATTATTTTTTTAATATATAAATAAATAAATATTTATTTGCTTTTGTCATAAAAAAGAAAGTCCAGCATTCCTGTCTTCCTTCCATGTCTTTCTGATGCTCTAATCACACGCGTGCTTCAGGGTCAAATAGCAAGTCATTTACGAGAAGGAAGATGGTGGAAGTTAGCGGCTGATGTCGTGCATCCACCAGGCCGTCAAAGCAGTTCTCAAGCCTTTCTCAAGTTTTGGCACTTTGTGAAAGAAAGATAAAAATGTGACATTAAGCTCTAGATTTGGAGACTATGGAGGCATCTGATTCACAGTTCACTCTCGCCTTGGATTAAATCCTCTATTGATGACACGTCACGTCACGAAAATCACAGCAAAACAAAGTCGCAGATGTAACTCTTACATACAGATTAACGCGACTGAATGAAGAATGAATTGCTCTTGAAATATGGCCAGATTTACCAGTGTTGAGTATATTTGTAAGATGATTGATATTTGTAGGTGGGCCTGCAGATTGAAGGGTCAGCTGCACTTTGGCCTCACTGGTAAAACGTGCAGTTGATCAGACAACCGCATGTTTTTTGACCCCTCAGGTGTGTCTGACAGGCTGCTCCAGAGACCTGATGGTGCGGATCGATCAGCTGTGTTCCAAGCACAACATCAAGGTCTTCTGCGGGGACGTCTACGGTTACTACGGCTACATGTTCTGCAACCTCGGGAAAGAGCACAGCTACGTTGAGTAAGTGCAAGCGTCATTAATTTCCCAGTGAGGAGAGCTTCTGCCTGCGGGATAGGCGCTTCGCTGCAGTAGAGATTCTTTTTTTGTGATATCGACAAAAATGTAATTTATTTTTGTTCAGCTTGAAAAAAGTCCATGACTGCAAAATGTTCTATTGCTATGCACTTTCTCCAAACAAGCAATTGAATATCATAACGCACAAGATGAGCACTCTTTTTACGAGAAACAAACACCAAAAACCTAAATGTTCTGTCATTTAACACTTTGTTTCATTTCAAGTATGACAAAAATAAGAGGATGTGGTCTGAAACACTGTGACTATCTGCAGGTTGTTGCTTCACTAATATTGTAGACAAATGAACCCACAGATCTCTGGAAACATTTGTTTTCACACAAACGAAAAACACAACACACTGAGCTGGTTAAAAGAAGTTCAAAGACAAGCCGCTCTTACCATGGAAAGAAAACTAAAATAGAAACCGTGAGAACTACCTGAAGGCCAGAGTGTCTGCTGCAACAAAGCGGTAATTAGTGCTGGCTTGTGGAGGCAAAATGACCCACATGAAACCACTGAGGAGAGCAGGTGATAATACAATTCCAGTAAATCCAGTCCCAATGGGGAATTTGATAACGGATTGTATTTTGACGATGGATGTCAATGGTCGTCATAACAGTCAGTAAATTATCCCTTAAATGTAACCGAGATTTTTTACATTTAAGCTCCAGTGTAATGCCATTGTACAACAACTAGAATCTTTTTGCATGTTAACCCCACTTTACAGGGAAGAGTTAGTATTTAAGACTTGTACTCCGCTCTACTATCTGCAGTAACTAATCATTTATGGTGCAGGGAGGATTTCTGCTCTGGTCAATTTGGCTGCAGCTAGAATGAGTAAAATGGTTGTTTGTGCGTTTTGTAAATGTCCACAAATAACCTATTATCTAATGCAATACTGACCCTCTCCCCTTTTAGAGAGAAACCAAAAATGGTGAAACCAACTGGAAATTCTAGCGACGGTCCAGAGGCAAAGAAGGCCAAAATCGACCCCAATGAGACCACCATGGTGAAAAAGGTCAATGAGAGCATCTTAAACACATTATACGTATATACATGTTTGCTTGTTGTGTTTTTTATTGCACCAGCCAAACTGATACAAATAACTGTCTTCTGTGAAGATGATTTACATCTATTTGGCTCAAAGGAGGAACAACTGTTTTAGTGGTGAATAAGGCCGCATCCACACAACTCCGTCCAAGGGGGCATTTAGGCTCGTTGTCCAGGTGATCACATGACCATTAACGTACACTGGGCATGCACATGAATGTGTAGACAGGAAGAAGATGTTATACACAGTCACGTGATATCAGTGTGAAAAATCAGGAAAGGACACGTCACGATAAAAAATATTATAACTGTGAGGTTACTTTCCCTGTCCCTTTCCCTTATTTAATCTTAATTGCATAAGAAGAAAATGTAGATCCTTGATATCTTTTCAAATCTAAATGACTTGTTTTCTCTACTAAAACTACTTGATACAACTCTGGCTCACCTCCGACTGACATTACTTTATAACATCCTCCAACCAATCAGATGGCCAGTTTCTGCACTCTGAAGGAAGCTCTGGAGGTCGACTGGACAACTGAGAAGGCCAAAGCCGGGATGAAGAGAACACCAGTGGACTACTTCATGTTGCACGGTACGGAACGCATCATTTCTGAAAAGTCCAAGTTTTGACGGATTCTGACACAATTATACATTTTATGGGTGATGGGTGTTCATTTTCATTTTGAAGCAATTAATGTACTAAAGGAACAGAAAGTCAGTACCAAATAATAGGTATTGAAAACCGTTAGTATTTGCAACCCCACGAAGTAGGTAGTCTAGATTTCAAATGTTTTGAAATTGAAGAAGCGTTTGTGAGAGGACATATTCTGTAAGTGAAGGCAACACTACTGTTATATTTTACTATTTAATTTAGGTATTTCATTGGATATTTGTTTATTGAAAAAGTTATTTTTGATGGGATTCATATTTGATGTACAACTGTGTATTTTGTTTTCATTATGAGAGTTTATTAATTTAAAAGTGATGACAATCGGTTAAGCAAACGAGAGGTCTTGTGACACTTATGCGTAGGAGATGGGACATAAACAGAATTTCCATACAGAGAATTGATCAAAAAAGAATAGAAATTGGAAACTGAAAATGCGTAGGGACCCCACAGCGAGACTGAAACAGCCGCCATGAAATTGCAAAGTCACTGGTTCCAAAATCATCCATAAACATAAAATTGGTTAAATGTCTATCTGGAGGGACGGGCAAACTGTTAAAATGTCAAACCTTGGTATGTTGTGTTTTAAATATTAAGGCACCATAAAACCAAAAGGAACCTTTTGACCTTAAATCGTAAATGTGTCTTCCTGTTTTTCATGTTATTTGCAGTGTCTGATGACCTTCTCTGGAAGGGTTGTTTTTGTCCCACTTGTCACCTGGCCCTGCACCATCCCCACACACTGCATGCTGTAGTTTCCATCACAGGCTGTCCATGGCCAGTCATGTGCACTGAGCGTAAAACAGAATGCACACAGTGCATGACGACCGTCACACATAATCAGGAAGTTCCCACAAAAAGGACTATTTGGTGCACAATTCATTTATGAAAACTCTCCCGGGCGTTAATGTGAACCGAATGCATAGTTCTCAAACACTAAATGCCGTCACACCCTGGAAGTATGTTCTAAAGCTAGCGGAAACCTTGTAACCTATATGGAGCTAACCACAAACCTTATTAAGGAGCTAACCACAAACCTTATTATGGAGCTAACCACATAATCTATATGGAGCTAACTACAGAACCTTTATGGAGCTAACCACATAATATATATGGAGCTAACCACAAACCTTATTATGGAGCTACCTACAGAACCTTTATGGAGATAACCACAGAACCTTTATGGAGCTAACCACAGAACCTTTATGGAGCTAACCACAGAACCTTTATAGAGCTAACCACAGAACCCTTATGGAGCTAACCACAGAACCTTTATGGAGCCAACAACAGAACCTTTATAGAGCTAACCACAGAACCTTTATGGAGATAACCACAGAACCTTTATGGAGCTAACCACAGAACCTTTATGGAGCTAACCACAGAACCTTTATGGAGCTAACCACAGAACCTTTATGGAGCTAACCACAGAACCCTTATGGAGATAACCACAGAACCTTTATGGAGATAACCACAGAACCCTTATGGAGATAACCACAGAACCCTTATGGAGATAACCACAGAACCTTTATAGAGATAACCACAGAACCTTTATGGAGCTAACCACAGAACCTTTATGGAGCTAACCACAGAACCTTTATGGAGCTAACCACAGAACCTTTATAGAGCTAACCACAGAACCCTTATGGAGCTAACCACAGAACCCTTATGGAGCTAACCACAGAACCCTTATGGAGCTAACCACAGAACCTTATGGAGCTAACCACAGAACCCTTATGGAGCTAACCACAGAACCTTATGGAGCTAACTACAGAACCTTTCCACAGAACCTTTATGGAGCTAACCACATAACCTTTATGGAGCTAACCATGGAACTGATTCAGAGTTAATGAGTGGCACACACTGCACAAACACGCACCGGAATCCACACAGTTGGAGGGAGATCAACTTTACTGCTGCTTGGTTAGACACTACTCAACTAAGTACATCACAGAACGACTAGCTACATTATAAATCACAGAGAACGTGATTAATTTGATAGAATTTGTTAAACGATATCAGGCTGAATAAAAACACTGCTATAAATATCCTGTACCCTGAAAGCATTAACTGGTATGATGGGAATTGTCATAAAGTTATAACATGTGTCTAAGAATGTTATATAAAAGCCAACAAAACTATATTATTTAACCGCTATATACGCAATGTTTTCATTATTAAGGACAGGAAATAAGAAGCCCAGATAAATTAGCATGATGTTTTATTTCCACTTCTGTTTATTTTAAAGAAATATCAGCTTTAAAGATTCTCGATTGGGGAAATAGCAATCATATCATACACATACCCATATATAAATGTATAAAGTAAAACATGTTGTATTTAAAGTCATCCTATTAATGCTCTTACAGGAGTCCAGGAACAGTTTCAATGCTGGTGTCTTTTACAAGTCTGTAGTCTCTCTGTGTCGGCTTTTGGCAGCTTAAAGATTATTTCCTAGTCTATTTTTTCACCTAAATTCAGTGTCACAGAATTCAATGTTTACTTCCAATTAAATTCCCTTTAGCGTGTAAAAGTCTGTAAAACAATATTTAGTAGCGTAAAGTCAGACCAGCTTTGAACACTAATGAATGATTTCATCACTGACGCAGCAAAAGCTAATTTTGTGAAATCATATTGGAACAGCAATGACTATGTGTAACCATGCCAGGCAGCTGCAGTTGTTTACTTGTGGTATGAGCACTTATATTTAAGTATAGGACCTCTGCTGTGAGCTTCTTGGCTGGTGCTTTTTGGGTGTGTTTCAGCTGTTGTGACCTTCAATCTAATACAGCAACAACCCACCCTGAAACAAAGCACTGAAACTGAAGCCCCGTCCCTGTCTTCAGTCTTAGTGGAAACAGTTTGATGTTTTATTTGGTGAACGTGACCCAGGAGGCAGTGTTATTATTCCGCCGCTGTTTCTATAATTGGAGTGATCTTTTTGTTTTGGGCGACCGATGAGGAAGTGGCTCTTCCTCTCTTACAACTGCTTCCTGTCTGACTAGGAACAGTCGGGTGAACCGAACCGCGGCCGCTTGTGTTTGCTTTTTCATCATCAGTAATCTGATTCACACAATAGTCTTTTTTTTTATTGCAAAAGAGAGGTGACAGTGCAGAAACTTTTGTCTTTATTATATTTATATATATATGTACGGAATAATCTAGGTCCTTCTCAAAAACATGCTTTCCATATTCTGCCCAAAAACATGAACTCTCGCTGTGGAAAAAAAACATCTCTTTGACTCAAAGGGCCGTCTCCCTCGACTTTTATCTGAACACTATTGCGTATCTCGACTTTAGAGATACTATCGTTGTTCCATCCATGTGCACATTATTATATTCTGTTATGAAATCCTATTTGATTTCCTGCCTGAGCGTGATGCCATTTTTGTCAGTCTTTAACTTTCTTTTTTACCATCGCCAGTTTTGCTGATTTTAAAGAGCAGAGCCAAGTTGCAAAAGCGATTCTTTGAGTGTGTGTGTGTGTGTGTGTGTGTGTGTGTGTGTGTGCGCGTGTGTGGTGTGGTGGAAATGGCCGTGGGAGGACTGCCTCATGCGGTTTAAGTTAATGGACGAACAGGAAACACGGGGGCGAAAGTTGATGTGTGGCACAGTTGGAGCTGGTGACAGGTGTCATTTTTTTAAAATATTGCACATTACCACAATAAAGTGCATGCTTCTGATTTTCTGTTTCTCAATCCGTCGTGCAGCAGACTCTTAGTCAGAGTCAGGAAAGAGTTGTTGTTTTTTCTCCCCACGCTAATATTTTCCTCACTGAGCGTACGTAGGTGTAGCTGTGTGTCTTTTCGCCCTCGTTGAATTGGTTGCATGGGAACGTGGGCCCTTAATTGGTTAAAACGCGGCATGACCACACACAGATCTTATCTTCTTTCAGAGATGAGATGTTGTTGTTCCATCGATGATAGTTAACTATGTCTGTACTTAGTCTTATGGAAGCATGACGAAATTATGAACAGCAATAGATGCAATATGTATTTATGTATGTGTGTAGAAAAATGTTGCTTTACAAAAATAGTTACATGCATCTTAACCATTTTGTTCTTCCCGTCCGCAGTTCTGTTGACGTTTCGCACCGACAAAGGTCGTGACCCCGACCCGCTGGCCTTCCCAGAGGACAGTCGGCTCCTGAGAAAGATCCGTGAAGACGTGCTGGAGACCTTGGCAGTGAGCGCTGACCTCCTGAATGATGACTTCATCAGGTATAGAACGCGACCTTTGTTTCAGGATCCACATCACCTATATGTCCCGTTGAACGTGTCCTTGAGTTTTAATATAAAACATATACATACATGTAAACTTTAACAGTTATTACAGTTCCAATTTATGATGCATATAAAATAGCTCTGCCTGATTGTGACCTATACTTGATCCAGCTGTCTGAGTGAAAAATGAATACTCAACACCGGTGTAAAATCATCAAAAACAGGACATTTAATGTTTGCAAACAGGAGACAGATGAAACACATACAAGTCATGCGACTTGTAAGCCTAATCGAAGTTCTTCTTTTCCAGCCTTTATACTGGGATAAGGTAAACGGAGATAAACAGGAAGGTTTTGCGCACGCACAATGATCTCATTGTACAAGGACCGTCATGCTCTTTATACATCTAATCCTCATGAGACACGGAGTGGCCTTCTGGTTACCGGTCATACACGTCACACAGATTTCATATCCTGAGCGGTCATCTTATTTCAGCTGACCTGTCATACAAACGATACAGACATAGTCTTGTTTTGTCTAAACAACCCTTCTTGACGTGACATTATTGTAGTTTTTCCAACACTGAGTCAGTATCAACCTAGTAAAACCGACACTCAAAAAAAACTTTCATAACTTTGTTTTGCAGACTTTTCCGCTTTACAAAACCATTTTCAGATTGATCTATAGCTTCACACAGAAGCAGTATGTATTGTTTCCGCAAAGTCCATCGGTTTTGGGACTGAATAGCTTCCCCATCACCCATAGACTGTATATAAGAGATGGACGTAGTCATTGTTACGTCACACATTGCCTTTTTCACCAGGAAAAAGCCATTTCTTTGCTTCTTTTTTTTTACCTTCAACTTTCTCAGTTTGTCATCAACATCCCAAATTCCATTTAATCATAGCTGTGCATGTTTGTCCTCAGCTACTGCTTCTCCGAGATGTCTCCGGTGTGCGCCGTCGTAGGAGGAGTCCTGGGTCAGGAAGTTGTCAAGGTGAGCATGTCACGTTCACGCAGCCGTGTTTAATGACGGCAGGTGGCTCTTGGGTTTGTGAGGGAGCCAATCAGCTGACAGGTGGAGGCCCATTGGGTCATCTGTGTAATAATCTGCTAAATACTTCTTTAAACCTTATTTTTCACTTTTACTTTTAAAGTATGAGAGAGATATGAGTCTATTTCATCCTTGCATGACCTGAATAAGTTTCCTCCGAGCGAATTAGAGATCATGTTTGTGCTGCTTGAGCTGCGTGCACGGGGAGTTGAAGTAAGAGTTCAGGTCAGTGTGTGCGCATCAGAGAGGGACTGACTGCATTATATTGGCATACCGCCAACTTGCCGTCTCAAGATGATGATGATGAGGATGATGGAGGTGATGATGAAACCCTCTGCAACTGTCTCGCCGGGTGGATCTGACTGAGTTCACTGAGCTCACCTCGCCAGCAACTCTATTGAATTTTAACGCTGCAACTGAGCTCTAAATATTGAGTGGCTCCGTTGTTCTTTGGGCCGTCTGCCGTCTCCTCAGTGGTTAGATTGAAGAGGTTTGAACTGGGATTTGATCAGCTGTTGTTTTAAGAGTTCTGACCCAGACTAACCTTCTGTTCCTACGGTGGAGAAGAAGAAGGGCTTTGCTGAGGCATCGCTGTGATTGTTAATACTCCAGCTTGTTATGAACTGTTCTTCTCTTCTGATACAAATGCTGCTTAAAGGGATCTTTGTCTGTCTGATGAGCCGCCGTTCAGCGTTTTGTTCTGCATGTACGTATATGTATGTGAACCGCAAGGTTGGTGGTTCGAGTCCCGGCTGCCCTATGTCTCAAGTCGAAGTGTCCCTGAGCAAGACACCTAACCCCTAATTGCTCCCCGGGCAAAATGTAAAGGCCATTGGTTTAAAGTGTAATGTAAGTCGCTTTGGATAAAAGCGTCAGCTAAATGACCTGTAATGTAATGATGTGTGCTTACGTATATGGAGTTCTGGCCACACCGCGAAGCATAATGCTTACGTCCTTTCTCCTGTTTCTCCCTGCAGGCTCTCTCCCAAAGAGACGCTCCTCACCGGAACTTCTTCTTCTTCGATGGTCGTAAAGGCAACGGCGTGGTCGACTACTTTGGACCGAACTAAACCGCTTTTTACACAAGTTTATGTATTTTATGTATGTTCTTGCGCCACAACTCACAACAAATTACTCTAGTGTTTCAATTTTTGGCATTTGGTCTCTTTTTTCTTTTTTTTTTTACATTTGCTAATAAAACAATGTTAAGTGAATGATTCTGGCTCAGGTTTCTGATTTATCAAACAATAACAACAATGTTGTTTAACGCCTGCATATAAGAAATTTTGCGATGAAAACTGCTGCTGTCTCAAGATTCAGCGTAATGATCAATGCTGATTATGATGTTGATGATGATTATAATGATTAACGCGTTCATGGGGAAATTTGAAAATTTGGTTAGTGTGTTTTCTCTAAAACAAATCCAATTGAATTTATATAATGCTTTTGATTAAGTAGATCTGTCTGTCTTTTAAAGTCATGTTCCACTGAGCCATGGAAATGAGTAAAAGCTAATGTTGTGCAATGAAATCTGTGTAAATCCGTATAAATGTTCCATTTGATGCAACACTGCAGCCATGAAACACAATGGTTGAATTATGCAACGGTAAAAATAAGTGAATCTGAGGGGGAAGGACTGTGGATGGTTCCATGATGCCGATCAGACTGTATGACCATATTTGGTAATAACCTCGCCAGTGCGTGCGTGACTCACCGAACCCGTGCACGGCTGTCCCGGTGACTAATGATGCTTCCACAGCGTGACGGGGGAACAACCAGGAATGTGGTCCCATGTCTGACTTTGGGAGTCGGGTGGTTTAACCTGTTTAACTGGACGAACCTGAACTGCAGAGTTGTGTCTCTATAGATGGAAATAATGACGCTTATTTTGATGCACTTTAACGTCTAAGTGTGCCTGTCGTGCTGAGTCATTCCGCTGGTTCAGCATTGTCAAGTGGGTTCATTTAAAATAGTTTTACAGACAAAAAAAGTCCTACATGTATTAAGGGACATAAAGGGAAAATAGATAGAGAAGCGCATGAGAGAGATGTATTAAAGGTTGTGGCATTAGATACACTTCAATCATGGTTAGGTGCAATGACCCTGAAATAACCATATGACCATAAATGACCATGACAGGAAGTGTTCATGGTGGTAATCATCCATCAACCAAAGATCAGCTTCCCTCTGTGTTTTCAAATAGGGAAACAAATTACTTCTCTGTGCAATATTTGAAGTGTATTACATTACATCACATTATCTATGGTGGCAGCTGAAGAGCACACGTTGCTCCACATAAATACCCAAAAGTGATCCCTTTGACCTGTGACCCCGTCAAGACAATTTATTTTAAGATCGCATTGATCAGATGGGGATTACATTACATTACATTACATGTCATTTAGCTGACGCTTTTATCCAAAGCGACTTACAATAAGTGCATTCAACCATAGGGTACAAACTCAGAAGAACAAGAAACTAGAAAGTGCAATTTCCTCAAATAAGCCAATTTACAATTTGCTATAGATGAGTGACGTTACAAGTACAATTTAAGTGCTACAATTTGTTAGTCTTTTAGTCGACGTAGAGTCTGAAGAGGTGTGTCTTTAGTTTGCGGCGAAAGATGTGAAGGCTCTCTGCGGTCCTGGTGTCTTCAGATGTCTTCAGAGAGCTCGTTCCAGAGTCGTGATCGATTCAACAGAGAAATCATGTGATCATCTTGTAAAATATGATGCATGGTTGCAGACCAAGTTACAGGATATATAACACTTACATTTGCATATACAGCCGTAAAATGAGTTTACAGATTAAAGAAACACAATGGAGTGTGTGTTATGGAAGACTCGTCAAACTGAAAGAGCATATATCACATCTGGGACTGTTTTGATCAGTAACATCTTGTTTTCCAATTTACAATAAAATTGTATTTTTAGATTGCCAATTATGCATCTTTTGTATTATTTGATTATTTGTTCAAAATACAATACACTATTCAGACTATAAATTACTCATGAAGAAACCAAGGATTCCAGTTCCACGGATGCATTACTGCTGCAGGTAAATTTATATATACTTTTATTCCCCTGTGAGGCTGTCAGCTGCCGAAATGTGTGACCATTTATTTGACTAAAGACACAAAAGCCTCCATTCCCACATCGGGTTCATTGTTAGTTCAGAGAGAATATTAAAAAAATTGAATTATTCCCATGAATACACATTAAGAAACACAAGTCTCTTTTGTTTACGGCTGTTTTGTAACAAAACCAGGAGCTGTTTCGGCAACACAGAGCGCCACTTCTCTTTTCCTGGGATTAAGAGAGAAGATTAATTACGGAACGTCCCTTTAAGCTCATTCTGCCCCTTTAATTAAACCTAAACTCTTATCTACCATCACACTCAATGCGCTCTTCATGCTGACTCTGCTCTGTGTCTTTCATGTCCTCGCTACCCCCTCACACACACACACACACACACACACACACACACACACACACACACACACACAGCTAAATCCCAGCACAGGGCTCCTGCTGTGTGGTCACTCTCTCCACTTAGCAGCAAAGACCAGGACTCTGTTGCCACCAATCGGATCCCTGATTTGTCTCTAAGTGGCCTGTGATTGGCTCATTCTTCACAGGAGTTTAAGTGAGGATTTCTGGTCCCAATGCTGCCTGTTGACTCAGCAACAGACAAGCGTGTGTGTGTGTGTGTCTTTACTTGTACAGCTATCTTTATGAGGACCATTAAGAATTTCGGAGTGAGGACGATTTTGGAAGGCAAGGACGTTTTAGTTGGTCCTCGTTGTGCAACAGAGCTTCAAAGGTCTTTTTGAGGGTTCCGACTTTGTTTTGCGGTTCAGTTGAGTGTTAGTTTTAGGGAAGGGTTTATAAGCATTTTGTTGTGATGGATACAGGCAAGGGAATGCTTTATATGAACAAAGTTTCCTCCCAAAGATAGAAGTTATTGTGTGTTGTCTCCCAAGTTTATTGCTAGTGCAGCGGCCGCATTGCTGCTTCAAGGCTGTCCTTGCGTGAGCCCATTGCTCGGCTCCCGGCCTCTGAAGGGTTGGAGGACCTCAGAACCCCCCCCACGGAGAGTGAAGTAGTTCTGATGAGCGTGTGAAGAACAGATAGACAGACGGAGAGAGATCCGTCGTTTTATAGTTGGATGTAAAGATTAGTCGGGCTACAACTCAGTTCTTCTCAATCATAAAAAGTTAATCCGAAGGAGAACACATCTGAGAAGCCGGGAAAAGCAGATGTTTAGCATCTTTGCCTCCGACTCATCTGACTCATCTGACTCATCTGACTCATCTGATTGTCCAATCAATGAATTAACTGCTACAACAGATGTAAGCAAAACATATTAGAAATACAAAGAAAAGGTCCAAAATGAAGTCAGATGAGGCTCATTGAGGGTCACAGACCTTTCTTTTCTGTAACCGTAACTCTCTAACCGTAACTATTTTTGAATTGGCAGTTATGTGCATGTTGTCTTTGTTGTCTGTTTATTTTTACATAAAACCAGATAGTAAATGATAAAAAAAGAAACATTTTGAGGTGAGTCGACAACATGCATAACACAACAACAATGGACAACAACAACGCATCCACTGGGCAGTACCGGGGTTATTCAAGGCCTCTGTAAAGCATCAAAACACGCTCCGTCTTTCACCAGATTGTCATGATGACCACCAGTGTAAACACTTGCGTCTGTGTGTGTCTGCGTCTGTGTGTGAGCGAGGGTCTCGACCTTGTGTCGGCTAATCCCTGGCGCTCTCCAGATGTGACGGAGACCACAGCGCTGTCTGACGTCCACTATCACGCATGGCCAGAGGGCTGCTGCTCCAAAGCCCAGACAGCCGGAAACATCTGTAAACATCTGCCAAACCAATAAGCTGCCGCTGTCCTCGCCCGAGAGGGCCGTGATCGCAGAGGGACATTTACACACCAGTGTGTTCCTCCTCAAGTAGATCAAACTCATCATCTTACTCCTGCGGCTTTGAGAATGTGTTTATTCGTTTGATTTATTTCTCTAACATGTGGAACCTCTCTTAAAAAAGTAAAATGAATTTGAAGGTTTTGTTAATTGGGGCGGCACGGTGGCGTGGTGGTTTGCACTGTCGCCTCACAGCAAGAAGGTCCTGGGTTCGATTCTGCCCAGAGGCCTTTCTGTGTGGAGTCTGCATGTTCTCCCTGTGTCTGCGCGGGTTTCTCCTCCCACAGTCCAAAGACATGCTCTGGGAAACAGGTTGATTGGGGACTCTAAATTGCCTGTGAATGGTTGTATGTCTCTGTGTTAGCCCTGCGATTGGCTGGCGATCAGGGTGTACCCTGTCTATCACCCGAAGTTGGCTGGGATGGACTCCAGCCCCCCTGCAACCCTGTGTGCAGGATAAGCGGTTTGACGATGGAAGGATGGATGGTTTCGTTAATTGGGTTTCTGGCACCACATTTGGAAGGATAATATGACAACTTTATATACGCATAATTTGCAGTTTATATTAATTAATGTGTTAAGATAATTTTCAGTTTAGATTAATATTACAAAATAAGAAATAAACTGCTTAATTATGTATAGTGTGTATGTACTTTTAAAAAATAGGTTTGGGATTTCCGATGAATAGTTCTGAAACAGGCCAATGTGCACGATGAGACCCTTTGATGGACTAAGCATAAACGGTCAGCCCTCGTGCTTCCTTTGTGGTCAGTCTTTCCAGGAGCTAACAGGTGTATTTGTATGTGTATTTGTCATTTAACACGCAGCAAAGGGATCATTTATAAAGTCTTCCTGGTGCAGAAAGGTATCATCACATGGGGTGCTCGCGTTACCATGTGAGCTAAACGTTAGAATTAAAACAAACAAGTGAATATAGTTTCCTTATCTTTATTGTATAAAAAAGAAAAAAAAAGTACAAAATTCAAGTAGAAAGTTTACAATAGAAAAAAGTTGAAAAACAGCAAAAACACAATGCATGTGACGGACAGTGGGGTCAGGAGGGGGGGGGACTGTACCGGGACCACCGAACCTCACCATGTGATGACGGCGACCACGGCCGAAAGCACCGCTGGTGAACCGATCTAAAGAACACGAGTACAGCAGCAGTAAACCAACGTCTGCTGCAGCCGGCCTGGTTCCTCCGGTAGGAACATCAGTGCTTTCAGGAATGCACCGCAAACGTACGGGACAGTGTAAATAAGGACAAGTGGGAGTGGTCTCTCCAACGGCCGCAGCCAATCGCTTCTCTGCGAAGGAATAGGTGCACGTTTCAATTCAAATGTTTCCGCAAGTGGAAAATGAACAGGTGGACGCTCTGACCAGAGCACGACACAAACGCATCGTTTCAGCAGGTGTAGCACACAGTTCGGAACCAGAAATAATTCAATTTTCAATCACAGGGATTTTAGTTCAGTCAGTATTACGTTTGTGGAAAAAAACAAATATTTTGCTACTTTTCTCATCTGACACACGTGGAAAGCCAATGCATCCAATCGGTTACTCTACAACAAAGTGACGACTTAAATAAATGAGCCGTTTTTTCCATTGCTAGCAGAGAACAAAGTTCCAAATTCTCAAAAGCTGGTTTCATTTAAATAAAATATGATACTACTTTTCCACTTTTAACAAGTAGTGCAACAGTTTAACTTCCATATTATTCCATCTCTGTTTTAACAGGTACAACTCAGGTACACCTTTATTCATTTGATCAGGAATGTAAGAAAAAAAATACAATACAGAAAAAGAGCTACGTCCAGGCTCCAGTCCTAAATAAATTATGCTCTATAACAGAGCAACATCTTCTCCCAAAACTAAAGTAAAAGGTAGGGGGGGTTATTTCACAAAAACATCATCAAATACTTTTTTAACAATCAAAAGATCCAGATTATATATTTTTTCACTTTCTCAAATCCACTGGATTCAAATTCAAACTTTTGCCGAAGGCCACTCAGAAAAAACGATCACCTGAACACGGTGAACCGGGCTCGCCTTCATAAGTACTTTTTATTTATTTGATTTATTTTCTGCATTAGTTAAGATCTTCCCAAAGAGAATTTGAAACAATCGAGAAACCTTAAAACACTGTTGACGTGGGCGAGGGGTGAGAGGGGGGCAACACTGGCAGTGGTGAGTGGGGGAATGTACAGTGGCCAAATGTGTGGCGGGAGATTTGCGCGGCGTCTGTGCTCAGACGGCCTCCTCCTTGTCACAGCATCTCAATTTTAGCGCGAATGGCAGCTGCAGACAGAAGCATTTGCAGTGGTTGTGTGCGTTTCTTTAAACGTGCGTTACTGTCCTTGTTTTGGAGATTAGCGCCTCACTGGAGAGGAAAAGGCACGAGGTGCGATGGAGCCGATCGGTTCACTCTGTGGGAGATGTCACCCTTTTATTCCCCGCCACGCCAAAACAGCGTCCAGTTTCACAGTTTGTCTGACGGGGACGGCAGACACGGATCAACTTTTTTTTTAAATTTCATTTTTACATAATTAAAAAGAGGAATTGGAAATCATATGACAGAGACGTGTCCTCCAGAAGGAAAATGGTGTCTAATATTACAGCTGAATGAAAATGCAAGAGGTCAAGAGGAAAAGACGACTTCAAATCCGTTTTCCCATTTTGCCCTGAATCGCAATAAACACAACTTGTTTGTTTGACCCGTGTCTCCCGTGCTCTCGCACGCACGCAGCGCGATTTTACAAAATATACACGTAGGAATGTGTCCGTCAGCTGCAGTCCGTACCAGCAGACTCTGCAAAGGCGCTTTTCCATTCCAGGCCGCGCCAGTCCTCCGGGTCCAAACGACCAGCACAGCCCCCCCGAATGTATGAAGTCGCCACGGTGCCCGGGGGAGAGGGCGGACGAGGCGGTCGTCTCTACGTCAGCCTGTAGAGAGTTCCCAGAGTCTGGGTGATGAAGGTGAGGAGTCCTCGGCAGGCGTCCCTCCAGTCTTGCCAGTGGGGGGCGGCGTGCTGTAGAAGGGGGGGGGTAGAAAGAGATGTCAGTTCACAAGTAGAATTACCGCCGCTTGTGCAAAATGTCACCACTTTGATGTGACCAGAATTTGGTGTTTTTTCCCTATCTGGTTTATAAGTTTCAAGTTTTCTCTGACGCAGGTGCTCGTCACGTGTTCAAGGACCATTGGCAAGATGGACTTCTGATGAAAATGTGGGGTTTTACAGCTCGAGGCTGTGATAAACGGTGTAGTCATGGCTATTGTTTAAAGAAAACACGTTCTCCTTTTCTCCCCTTCAGAGGGTTAAGTCAGTTTTACTGTCACGGTCCTCACGCGTGAAACAGCTGGCTGCGCTGCTGTGGTATTTCTGAACACCAGCCAGGTTAAAATAATTACCATAATAATGACAACCTGGGGGAACGGGGGGGAGAAAAGCAGATTCAAATTGCTTTCTGGTTGAACCAGAGGAAACATGGTGTCATGTTTGGTTTGCGGAGTGAAGGGCGAGAGAGAGAGAGATGGAAGTCAGCATGGTGGCCGTTTATGAGTCACACACACACACACACACACACACACACACACACACACACACACACACACACACACACACACACACACACACACACACACACACACACACACACACACACACACACACACACCCTTCCTTGTTGTTCCAAACTGCTCGTTTTAGAAAACGGGTTTTTTCTAAATCCCCCTCGGGGAATCCAGTATCTGTCTGTCTGCACGCGCGGGGTCAATGAGGTCTGAGGAACCTGCTGAACCAGTCTGCAACGGGCACTGTTACATCCTCCTGAAGGGTGAGTCAAGACTCGGTGACGTCGTCTTTGTTTGTGTGCACAAGGCGGGCGGGATGGTGAAGGAGAGAGAGAGCAGCGGGGAGGTGTGTGTGTGTGCGGGGAGGGGGGGGGGGGGGTTCTGCCAACTCCTCACGCAATCTAGAGGACAGAGAGAGGGAGGGCTGGTATAGAGCCGTGACAATAAAAGGAAAGAGGTGGTCAGCAGTGGAGAACCATGCTGTCATTTGATCTGGGAGTATTGTTTTAGTGTCTCGTGTCGTTTTTGGTTGTTTGCTATTGTGCGAATAAAGTTATTAAATCCATATAGAGGGTGGAGCAAGAGGGTTGAGGACGGAAACTAAAAGAGAAGGGAAAAATGGGAGATGGGAGAAAGGAAGAGTGAGAGAAGACAAGGAGGAATATTAATGATTCTGTATGAAAACCTTTTCTTTGTCTTGAGAAAATTATTAAAGAGAAAAGAAAGGAGGCAGCGAGCCTCTTCAGATTAAAAGTAGTTTAAGTTAAGATTGAACAATAACTAAAATGGCACCGAAATTGGCCTCACGGCTGTCAGTGACTCACTCTCTCACCCAAGTATTGATTTGTCCCCAGCAGCCCCCCCCCCACCGCACACACAGCCACACACACGATGAGTAGAGCAGAAAAAACAGCTATTGTTGTGTCCAAAGTAATGTTGTTAGGAATTAACTGGGATTATGCCTTATAGAATAAACTGCATTAATAGTGCAACAAAGTTCATCATAGGCTTTTTGGGAAATCACTCTGGATGGGTTCATCTTTCTACACTAGGTTAATCTTTTCTTGTACACATATTAACTTGTGTACATTAAATATAAATGAAATACACTATAAAGTGCACATGGAAGCACGGAGCCCTGCCGTCTTACCGCTCTGTGGAGGACTGTGGTGTTGAACTCATCTCCAATGGACCTCAGCTGGTCGGCTACTCTCCTGACTTCGCTCTCCTGCGCCGCCTCTCCTCTGGGGGCCGCGCGGCGCAGGAGAGCCCCGGAGGGGAGCTCGTTCTGGGGCAGCAGGTCCGGCAGAGGCGCCTGACGGCTGGAGGTGTCCTGGCACTCGTCTCTGTGCGATGCTGGCGCAAAATGAAAACGTTTAAATTAATTTATAGAACAAGACACAAACAAAGAAAAAAAAAAGATTCATAAGTCCCCCATTTTATTTGTAACATTATTGATTCGCCCTTTGACTTTCATGTACGAGGAGACATAAACGGCGTCCGCTAATAGCCTCCCTAGGCTCTAATAAAAAGTCGTGGAGGGGAGAGGAGGGGAGGGGAGGAGGCGGTATCTGTGCACACACAGTCACACATGCGCAGGCTGTATAGGTCCGGGCTGCCACGGCAACAGAGAGACCAGACACGTCCAACAACACGCACAATATCGTACACAGACTTGAGCTGAAATCCTCGCTTTCGTGAATAACATACTTAGATTGAATAACCAAGAATAGCATCATGAGACTGATAAACTATGAAAAACATACATAGATAGAAAACCACACAGGTGAAAATGCTGTGTGAACATGCAGGTTTTTGATTGCACGAAGAGAAAGAAAAGACACTTTGAGGGTTTATCATATTTGATGCAGAAAAATACGGCAAATAGTTCTTGCGGTTTGCGGTTGTTTAGTTCTGTGGCCACGCACATATTTCTTAAGGAGCTTGATCTGGTGACTTATTTTCCTCCTAATGGAATTTGGGAGAGTAATCTCTTAATCTGCTTAATAAGTCTGGTATAGAGAAGTACTGAATGCGGGTGTGTTTGTTGTGTTTACAGACTTGTGTTTTGTATTTTTGTACAGGCAGACAGATACCTGCACCTTCTGTCTAGCCTCTTCAACGTGACAAACAGGCCACAAGCTACGAGAGATATTCGGATGTTATGTTTAAAACAATTAACTAGCTTCTTTTACATTTGTGTGAACACATTTGTTGTGTCATCCTGAATTATTTAACTAAACCAAAGCACTAAACACATCTTCTATATTCACTTTTATTTCATAATTTATTTTTATATGTAAAACAAAACATTTGTGAACTTTCAAAATACTTCACAGATCTAATTTAATATTAGAATTTTAATTGAAAATGTTCTACTCACTCAAGACGGGAGTAATCTTATCATATCCTTATTTTATATGTATATTACATTGCATTCAATTTCAATTTCTTCTGCACTGTGTGGTTGAGAATACCAGTTCTGTGGAAGATAATCAGATGTCCTGTCCAACCGTGCTACTACACTCTTTTTTGGACTTTGGACCCCTGTCTCTGTGCCCATGGCAGCCACAACCCTAGTTGCCAAAGAAACGGGCATCCCTGGCAAACACAGCCTCTGCGTTGCTAGGAGGATTTACGGCTGATCCTTTAAAGATGCAGGTGACTAGACAGAGACGGAGAGAGAGAGACAGAGACAGAAAAGAGAGAGCGGTAGAAAAAGACAAAACAAATGGGGAAACCCTGGCTTGTTGCCAAGGTAACTCTGAGGCAGTGCTCGCAGAGACGTCTGCACGCGATTGGCTGGAAGGGTGGGGGGCTGAGCCTTGATAGGGTGCACGGAGGAAAGCGGGTGGGGCTTGGAGGAGTTGAACCTGCCTGTTTCATTGGCTGACAGACGGACAAGGTGATAGAGATCCTGTGAGGTAAATACGGGGAGGCAGGAGAACATTGATTGGGGTTGATCTCATCTTCACACCTTCACCCCTCTCCGGTGTTCATGTGAGCGCTGCCCCCCCATGCTGAATGTATCAGAAATGACTGATATTCATTTTACTTCTATGATATCGTAAATATAATTGTTATTATCAATTTTAAAAATACATTCATGGGACTTATTTACTTAATTGATTATTGATGTGTGTCCTTTTTTTGAAATTACGTGCGTCCTTGATAAATAGTAAAGCACTTTAAGTTGCATTTTATGTCAAGCTTTTTCCTAAATAATTGTATTGGTTTGTTATCATTCTAACAAAATGTGCTAATATTCATCGCCTTTTAAATAACAAATAAAAAACACTGTGACAGGCTGTCATCTGACGGATTAATAATTTATTGATAAACTAGGTTGCTGATAAGCGACCAGAACAATTTGCTTACTACCTCACAAGATAACAGGACGACTGACTGCTTGCCTGTGTGATTATTAGACTTGACTGATGAGCCTGATTGACAAACTGTAAGACAAACTGAACCAAAATAAATGGCTTCAAAGTGAGCGGCCACATTGAGGCACAAGTCACTGAGTGGCTTGACTTTGTGCTGCCTGGCCGAGGGCCGGAGCAGCAGGAAATGCAGCAGATTGTCTGTGTGCTGCAGAGGAGGACAAGTCTGAACATGCCCGAGATGCACAGCTGACCTGCAGCTGAGAGGGAAGGGGAAGGGAGGTGGGGTGAGGGGGAGGGAGGGGAAGGGAGGTGGGGTGAGGGGGGGGATTGATCTTTTTTCATTGTTACAAATCTGTCACAACACAGTGGTTTGGTGCCAAAAAGTAAACCTGCCTTTCCTGTGCCGCCACCTGAATTTCCCTTTCTACAGGCTTCCAAACATCCCCCACCCGCCCGCAGGAACACTCAAGTCCAGCCCAGAGGGGAATCACTAGCCAACGGCGATGTTTGCAAACATGTATTAATGGCGTAAATTGATCATTTAAGAGCTTTTTCAGCGTTAATTCTCCAACGTATAAACAATCCTTAAGAGCACCAGCTACTTTAATACCACACTTTGAAAATATAGAGCTGTCCAAAGGTAGTTTTAGCATTTATTTTTTCTTCTTGTCCCAAGACGCAGCAGCACCGTGTCCCTGTGACTGTTATAACGTGTCTCTCCACCTGCCCCGCCAACAGTGACCAAACCCCACAGACACATTGACGTGGACCAGTGGGAAGGGGGATTGAACCGCCAATTCCCCGATTAAAGGACAAACCTGCTCTCCTACTGAGCCACAGTCATGACCGCATGCGTTAGACACACTTGTTTTTTAACTATAAGTGGATGCTATTATGTTACCTGACCGCTCTCCTGTGAAGGCACTGGGTGCTCCCACCCCGCCACCGCCACTCCCTTCCCCCGGATTACAGAGTGACGAATGTGGCGGCGTGGCCGATGATGATGACGCAGGTGACCGCTGGGGAGTTCGGGTCTCGTCCTGGTCATCCGGGTGGGGGTAAGGCAGCGGGCGCGACATGTAGAAAGCCTGCAGAGGTTGCGGCTGTTGGTGCAATGCACCGCCCGCCCCAGTCCCAGAGCTGAAGGTGCTGGTGGTGGTGAGCAGGCCGGGACAGTGATAGAAGGGTCGGGGCAGCTCCATGCTGCAGGTATGGTGGTGAGGAAGAGGGTCGTTTCCTCCTCTTCCTCCGGTTTCCCCAACGCTCTCGATTGTCTCTGCGCGGGCCATCTCAGTAGTAGACTGAAACACACACATAGACAGGCATGCCCCTCATGTAAATAAATAACTTATTTATTGCTTTTAACCTCCAAACTGAATCATTCTTCAACTCCTAAAGTGCTTCTCTCACAAACTACAGACCCAGATAATAAAAACCAAAAGCAATACAAAAATGCTGATTGTTTTGGTGAATGATGTGTGCAGACCAAACATATTAAATACTTAAAACAAAAAATATTGAAGAACTGTTTTTAAGAATATTTATTCAAATTGAATGGTAATCTATATTCACAATGAATACTAAATGAGTAATAATCATTTAAAAAAAATATACTGAGTAGTGCACGGTAAACATCTTAGATGTATAAATTCATAAATAAAAAGCATAAATTAATTTAGCAGCATTGTTTTTGTAGGTGTTCCTCTAGCGGCCGCCAGGGGGCGGTCCTCGTTAGAGCGCGAGACCTGTTTACAAACAGTCCGAGCACGAGGAAGCGGACACGCGCACACAACGCAGAGAGGAGGCTGAGACGCGGGGAACTGATGACATGAAACATATCGGCTCCAAGCAGATCAATGCGTGGATAATCAACAAAAAAACGTGATTATGAATATAAAATACAACCAAAAAGCGTCCGAATAAAAATGAGAAAAGTAGTGGATGTAAAATAGCCGTTAGGCAAACGGATATCCCTCCTTGAACCTCGAAAATGAAACGATAAAATCCTTAATTTATTCATATTTTAACTAATGGACGCTTTTTTGGAAAATTTCCACTGATCCTTCAGACACATGCTGCCGCGAAACTAATTAACGCATTTCACGTTTCTGAGTAGCAAAGCCCATCAGTTCTGTCCCACGTTTCTCCGCACATGTTGTTACATTTCTGTATCAAACAAGTCAAGACTAGTCTGACAGATTAAATGAAATGCACCAAACGCAAGCCACAGACCATCTCTATAATATAGACAAGTTACCCAGTCGATACTGAGGTCGACCCTGCAGAGGTCCTGCGCGGCGGACCGATGAAGCCGCCGCGGCTCTCCGGTGGTTCTTACCCGGGCTGTCTGCTCCGTGGTGCGGCTGTTTGCGGGTCAGAAACCGGCCGTAACAGGTGGACATCAGAAGGGACACCACACGACGGTGTTAAAAGTCCACTCCGGGGAAAATTTGTCATTCCATGTCAAGTTTCGTCGTTTATGAATGTTTTGGTTCTGATTTTCTGTTATATTAACCCATCAAAACAAAATGATAGCGACAAGTTGTGGAAAATAAAGAGGCTGTGGTGCGCGGGGATCGTCTCTCCTCGGTCTGAGCGAGCTGCTTCTGCCTGAAGGCTATTTGTAAACGGAGAAGAAGAAGAGCTCACGTCCGGTCAGACTTTTCAGGATAAAACCCAAAGTGAACCTTCATTGACACCAGTGGGAGGATGATTGCTTTTTGCTGTTGGTTGTTAAAATGTTTTTCAGTAAAGATCAGCTGACATTTAAACACCCCTTCTGAATAAATTATTCACGCATGCTTCCATTCATAATGCTATGAAAGTGTGCCCATTACTTGGTCAATAGTTTACACATCACACAAAACAACCATTTTTTATGAACAGGTATATTATTCATACTTCTTTCATTTGTGTTTATGTTTCTGGATGTGTACAGTTCTTGCTTTTTATTCTCACCACTCTCTCTTACAAATACATGAGTTAATTAATTTGTTGAGACAGTCAAAACAAATGCATGAATCAGTGTGAAAAATGGGTAAATTGAAGACATGAAGATGACCTGGGCATTTTGTGTGCCAGAAATGTGCACATTATCAGTTTTGCAAAAGACCATATTTACATTTTGCATTATATAAACTATACAAAATGTCCACCTTATAATAATTCCAAGCCAAACATAACCATTAGAAACTACACATGCGGGCTTGATTTATGTGAATACAATCCAGTCCGTTTATCATCAATCATTGTTCACTAATATAAACAGTGATTTTTAAAACCAGTTAAATATGAATCGCGACTCCTTTTAAAGTGCTTTTATTTTGATGGCTGAATCCCACAGCTATCTGGCTGAGATGACTTCCGCCACCTCCACAACAAGCGCTGACATGATCCCTGACAGGATGCTGCTCTCTCACTTTCTCCACCTCGCTCTCTCTCTCTCTCTCTCTCTCTCTCTCTCTCGCTCTCTGTCTCCCTCTCTTTCAGTTTGCTCCCCTGCTGTTTTGTATTTATAACAACCATTTTTTATATTCGCTATTTTCTAGTTACATATATATTTCCAAGTCTGTCTCTGGCTGTCATCTCAGTCCAGCAGACTCTATTGTAAATTAAACACTCAGCTTGTAGTTAATGATCTCCACATCCTGTATTTTCTAACTTTTTATTTCTGATCTCGGGACACAAGCCATTTCCTCATCACGTGACACTTCCACACGGGAATCAACAACACACACGCACACCTAAACACAGACACAAACTCCTCCCCCCAGCTGGCTTCCCCTAATTTCGTTCACAGTTTGACACATCTGCAGCAGCAGCAGCAGCAGCAGCTGTGAACTAAGACAATGCGAGCCTGGGTGGAGGGGAGCTGACTCAGCTTTTCCCTCTTGGGCCGCTCTAGGATTTTGTATATGTATGTGTAAACAAGGTTATTTACATAAAATAAAATCGTTAGCTCATTCACTCATTCACATTTTAATGCATTTGGTGTACCTACAGTCCTGTGCTACCAGCGACTCAGTATTTACTGTTGACAAACTCTGATTCCAGGCCAAATCCTCCACTATTTATAAGGACTGTATCTGAAATTGCGACAATGAAGCGTGCAGATTTGCGTGATGTCTGTTTTGATCCTAAAGAGATGATCATCTGTGAGTTATAATCTTTCTTTAATAAGGGTCATAATCAGCAACAGAGGTGGAAGTATATCCAGATATCTTACTTCAGCTGAAAGTAAAAACGTCTGCATTCTGAATCTTCAGTATCAGCATCAAAGTACCAATAGTAAAAATACTGTATATATTGTATCATGTTGCATTATTTAGAATCATGTGCATTATATTAATGGATTATAATCATTACTATTCATTTTCATCACATCAATGTTTCAGCTGATAAATGCTGAGCTGATTTCTTAACCTGTAACGATACATCATTATGTTGGTCTATGTTTGTGCTTTGATAAATCTTTAAAGTAACTAACTTTAAATGTAGCGGAGTGAAGTATACCTCAAAATTCTCACACACTTTCAAGGTAACGTAATCTCTTGCAATCTTTGGGGGGAAAACCTGAAATTGACAACGAACACAAACACACCAAGGATTTACAAAGGGCACTACAATAGGATCAAATGGGATCAGCTCACCTTTTCAGTGAGGACTTTGCAATCATGGAGGAAGTGAGTGTGAGAGGAAGAAGACGGGAGAGAGGACACGTACAAAGACAGGCATGACAGGGAGAATTATGTGATATGGATGAGGAAATGACCAGAGGAGACAGAGTTGACACACATACAAGTCATGCGCCAAACTCAAAGGTTTTCATCTTTAGAGCAGGAATAGCCACGATTGTGCAAGCAATCCCCAAAAATGGTAACACTCACACAGTGAACATGAATGTTTTGTATTTTAAGAATACATAGAATTTGAATCTGCTCCAGTGAACACATCATTTGTTGCGGAGGCACGGATGTTGTGGTTCAGACTTTCTTGCATTATTTGTTGGTTAGAAAGATGAAAGACTTTTAATAAGAAAACTTTTTTTTGTATCTTTCTCTTTGGCACCAATGCTAGAATAAGACGTCATGGGTGATCTGTATGATGCTTCTTTAGTTTCATTCCTTCTTCTGAATGGTGTCAGGTCCAAAAGTAGATGAAAATACAGAACGGCTTCCTAATTAAGGCAAAGACCAAAAACGTTTGTGTTGTAATTAGATTCTGTCTGACGTGATTGTGATCCACAGGTGTTTTTAACTGAATCTCTGAGCTCGATAGAAAACGAGCTTATGCCAATTTCAAATCTCTCAGATCATTGTCTTTTGGCCACGGCAACTCGATGGCATTTTTGAAACACTTTGTCATCCTAACATTAAGCATTGAGCAATATTTTGTCATTTCCTAATAATTCAAACAAATTTATTTTGGGTCAAATGTGTTCATGAGTGAGAGTGTAACGGAAAGTGTGCAAGCTTGTGTATGTGTGTGTGTGTGTGTGTGTGTGTGTGTGTGTGTGTGTGTGTGAGTGTGCATCTCTTTGTGTGTCCAAAGCTAATCTGGCATACTGCTGCTGCAAACTGCTCGGTATCTTTTGGGGAGGCTGTTATGGCTGCATGCTGAAGGACCACTTGCAATTGCAGTGACTCACACAATTCACACTGCCTTTTATTGTGCTGTGCCACTACCTGACTCATTCACTCTCTCTCTCTCTCTCTCTCTCTCTCTATATATATATATATATATATATATATATATATATATATATATATATATTCATCATATAAACATATGTATACATTGTCTATATATAGCGTGTGAGTGAGTGAGAAAAAAAGTGAGAAACCTGCAGCAACAACAGCAGCCTAATTGTTCAAGCTTTTACACCCACTCTGGTCTGAAAATCCGGCATAACATTAGCATCCCAATTGACTCAAGACACCCCCGCTGTCTTGACCCCCGACCCACAGATCATTGTCTCTTGGCCACGCCCCCTCAGCTGCAGGGCAGGAGACGAGGCTGCTCGGCTTAACTGCGGGGTTGGTGGGTGTTTAATCGGCTGGAAATGGCAGCTTGTCTTAAGAAACCCCCTCCACACGCACGCACGCACACACACACACACTCACATACACACACGCACGCGCGCGCACACACACACACGAACTTCCTCCAGCAGCAGATTGATTCCCACCCCTCTATTTGGGGAGGGGGTTGTGGGTTGGCTCTCAGGTACATGCCCAGGCGAACATCCTCTGCCAGCGTTGAGGCGGACACACTTAGCATGACATGTGGCCAGCGGTTAGCCTGTAGCGACTGCATAATGAATGGTAATGGCACTCGGGATGGTCCAAGAAATTGTTACACTAGAACAAGTAGGTGTTAATATATAAATTGTATTTCTGTTATCGGCTCAGCATCATCACTTGGGTCTGAAAACACCATAATATACATAATCTTTGGAAATACCAATAATATAAATAATTACGTACTGTGACAAAGCCCATTCTAACCAGCTGTCCCATTATATTCAGCCAGGACTCAGAGTCTTTTTTGACACAACGTTAAGCAAAGTGTCGTTTATTGTTCTGTTACTAATGACAACTAATGATGTTCATGTGTACCTGAAGGTGTGCACGTGGGGTGTGCGTCTATCTGTCTGTCCACAGATAACCTTCCAAACTGCATGTTCAAGGACCTCTCGTGGTTGCAGTGACGCGCCTTTTATCAAAACACCTTTTATTGTTTGTTCTCTACTGCCATTGACGGCCTTCCGACTCCTCACTACTCTTAGCTGGCCCCGGTCCGGGAGGGGCCGCACGTGGTTACACAGCTCAGTGCGTCTGCACTGCCTCTCAGCCGCTGCTCAGTTGGGGGGAAAAAAGGGCTCTGATTTTTATTGTTTTGTAGCGTGTGGGTTAACAGCTAACGGGACGACTGTGCACACGCTGGTGAGCGCATCGTAGCCGCACACAGAGGACAAAACGCCACACACAGTCAGAGACATGCTTATTTTGGTTCTCATTTTGTACTGGGGCATCAACGTCACGTGTACACATGGATTGTAGCGTAAATAAGTGCCCCTTACGGTGCTACCAATTGTGGCTTGTATCTATTCAAATAAACACTACAGCCGTGGTTATGCAAATACAGATTGAAGAGATCTGCACTCCACTGTGGGCATCGGTTTAGGTTTTCATATTGACCCTTCTCTGTGGCCGCCTCTTTTCCCACCAATAAGGACGTTGGTGTTGAGATCAGCTCTGATTGATTATCTTATTTGAAATTGGTCTTATTTGTGAGATGCTCAGATCCTGATTGTCTTTATGTAGATTTGCGCTACAGGAGACACAAAAAGTAGAGGCCAAAGGGTCAGTCACACATCAGCACCCAAAACACCTGCTGATTACAATGGGTGATGCTTCCCGAGATGATGTCACACTCCGGGTGTTTGGTTCCAAACTGCATCGGCACGCGCACGTGTGTGTGTGTCTGTAAGCGCATATATGTAACCTGAGTGCAGCTATGCAACCAGAGAGACGTGACAGCACCAGATAAGGTGAACACACAGCTCTCTGACCCTGTCTCTGGGTTTACCTGCATCTTCCTCTCTCTCTCTCTGTCGCAC